GGAAAAGGGAAAGTCCATGACATTTTATTAAGCATGAAATGGCGCTGGAGCAAAACAGAGGATTGCTGAAGCAAATGCTTCAGTAAGGAAGGAAATGCCATTGACTATTACAGCCGCCTAATGTTTTCCATGAACTGCAGAAAATAATTCATTGTATCTTAGTGACCTACAATAACAGCTGACGGCTTGCACTTCATGGAAATGTGATTTGTGTATTACAAAATTTAACTATTTAAAGTTTCAGGGCTCATGTCTTCAGAATTTCAGAAATATTAATGTCAGTGGGATTCAGATGAAAATTTTGGGGTAAACAAAATTTCCTGCTTTTTGTAAAACAAGCCTTGCATATTTAAACATGGTATCATTCTCCTGTCTCAAAAAATCTGGGTATGATTCCAGGTTTTACCACACACGGAGCAATGCAAAAAGAAACTTTAAAAAAAAAGCATATTGCCATCTTGTATTCCTCATATACTAAATTTAGAATATAAATTTTTCCTAAGTTCTAAAGACATATGGATGATAAAATTCAGGCAGAAAATACTGTTTTATTAACAAAGTTTTTAGCTGTGTTAGTAATCTAATTTGAATTTGAATTAATGTTACAACTTTATAGGTCTATAACTTTATAAAAATTAAAAACTCAAGTTTAAAATATTGAAATCAATAAATCAGTATACAAATAAACAACTACGAAGAAAATAATTTCAGGAGATGGAGCAAAAGTAGTGTTTTAAAAGTTTTATGGTTTATCAATACCATTAAATAAACAGAGAAGCATCATTAATGTTTTTTTATACTATATCGGTTAGTACCAACTTCAGTAGGAATTCTATTTCTAACATGCTTATTAGCTGGTATTATATTCCATTGTAATTTAGTTTACTGTATCCCATTCTGATAACCTACATTTGTACCTATCACCCTAGTGTAGTGAAAAATATAGTAGGCTGATATTTAGTAAATGGTCAGAATGTATGACTGCATGGTAACTGTGTGATTTTAAACATTAGTTAGAAATAAACACTAATGATAAATTAAGAATACTAATGAATGTGACCTTAATGCCCTCTGACCTGATATTTGAAGTGTACTAAGTTTTAACATGATATAAAGGAGGGCTCTCTATATGTTCCTGAATTGTTCACTTTTAACCTACTTCAGTGAATTATACAGACATGTAGGAATGCAAGATTTGCTATGCATGTTCAGACCTTCTTGTCTTTAGTCATATATCCAACAGTAGCCAGAATCAGATTCTTTAGAAAACAAGACACCCACCATTGCCAATTATGCAATTGTTTGCCCTGAACACAGAGCCACATGTAATTGCTAGCTTTTCTCCAGAATAATTTGAGTTGAATGTGGGTTCCTTAAAACACTGTATGATAGTTTACTTAAACTGAAAATATTTGCATGAGTCATAAATAGGTAATTCTTTAAAATGAAAAAAAATTCTATCAAGTTGGCCTTGGTGTCTTGTAGTGGCAAGTTCCAAGGCCTTATTATTTTCTTTATGAATTATTTAAAATCAGTTCTATGGTTTATTTGAAAATTGAATGTTACCCAAACTTACTTTCCATACTTACTGAAATGTAAGTCCAGAATTATACCAAAGACATACTAAGAATACATTTGGTTTCACAACACTGATGTTAGATATCCTATTTGACCCATTCAATCTTTATGTGTAAAGCAAATAATCTGAAAAGTAATGCATATCTACACAAACAATTGTAACTGCATGACCTTTCCTTTTCAGGACTTTGTTCTGAGTACAGTGGAAAGAATGGAACCAGCAATTGGAAATCTCTACCTATTTCATCTTAAATCTGAGATTTAATTCAAGCAATGCACTATATTATAATGTGATTTGTTTTGGTTAGGTCTGCTGGTAGGACTAGATAGTAACGTATGATTAAGCAAGTTAGTATTATTTATTGTGATATGTGATTCTAGTCAACAATGCCATCTGCCGTACAGATAGTATTGGAACACAGGTAGTCCTTGACTTACAATGACATATGGGACCAGAATTTCCATTACTAAACATGGCAGTTGTTAAGTGAGTCACACCCAATTTTTTGCATTTTTTTTGTCAGACATTAAGCAAATTATTGCAATTGCTAAGTGAATCATGTGGTTGTTAAGCAAATCTGTCTTCCTCCTTTAACTTTACTGGTTAGAAGCTGACTGGTAAGGTTGCAATGGTGATCACGTGACCCCTTTGAATTCTGATCTTGTTACTCTGGGGATGCTGTAAGGTCATAAATGCAAGGACCTGTTTTTTCAGTGCCCTTCTAACTTTGAACAATTGCTAAACAAATAGTTGTAAGTTGTTCTTGTTGTTGTTGTCGTCGTCGTCATCATCATCATCATCATCATCATCATCATCATCATCATCATCATCATCATCATCATATGGCATTGTTACATTAGTCAGGAGATTACAATGCTAATACAGAGTAGTAGTTTGACTGCCTGTTTACCAGCTCTGTTAGATACCTGCTTGTGTGCTTTCCATGGTGCACCACAGGAGGGCAATTTAGCTTTGCACCAGAAAAAAAGATGAGCAGCTTTTCCCACAGCATCATCCAAGGCCCTTCTCTTTCCACTGAACCTGCCTTGCAAATGAGCATCACAACCAGGAAGGTTCAATGCCGGCAGGATTCTAACCACTGAACAAAGCACCATCTGGTCTCCCCACCAAAGTGGTACCTATTTATCTACTTGCATAGAACATACTTTTGAACTGCTAGGTGGCCAGAACCTGAACAAGTGATGGGAGCTCACTCCACCACACGGTGCTAGAACCACTGGAGGAGAGACTATCTCCAGCGTCATTAAACCATTGAGTCACTATGGTTGTAAGTTGAGAACTACTTATACATGTCAGTTCCCTACATAATTTTCCCTGCTAGAATTGTTCTTCAGGACATTTAGGTTTGTGTGAATTAATTTCTTACATATTAAAAAGAATTCTGGGAATACAGCATTCTCAATTCATATGAAATTCACATGACCTTTATTGTAGCATGATCTTCTGCCGAGGGAGGCATACCCCTGATGGGGATCTCTATCTTTGGAGAAGGTTGAGAGTCCATTCCAGAGCCAGTTGTTTTACTTTTCTTCCTAACTGAAGAGAAATATGAGCTAGAAGGAGAGGAAATGGAGGGCTATCATAGAGGAATGCTTTTTTCTTGGCCATACTGGAAATGCGCTAGACACAAAAACCTTCATTCTCCAAGGTAATAATGAATTTTTGCATGTTTATGCCTGCCACTGGTATCATGAAACTGTTCTGAATTCTCCAGCTGTTAGCATAGGATTTTCCTCATAGCAGTCCTCATGATCAGTGCCAAATCCAAGCACTCTTTGATACTTCTTCTATGAAGCCTTCCTCATTTCTGTTTCCTGTTTTGACAATATCGTTAATGTGAAAGCTGTAATTTCTGTTTTGTCTCTTGTTGTGCAAAATCCCTCCACTTTGAATTTTCTTTCCTCTGTTAATTAATTCTGATTTTGTTGTTGGATTTCTCCCAATAGTAGAACTTTTTGCTATCAAAATGAATTTCAAACATATATTGCTTTATTCAAAGAGTGAAATAATGTTAGGTCAATTGTTTAATTATTTGCCTGTCAATATAATGTTTAGATATGTTCAGTTGCAAGAAAACAATATAGCAGTCCCTTGTTAATGTTTGGGTTGTACTCATTATGCAGATATTCTTGAAATAATGATGGGAAATGATTATTTTGTCTTTATTTGTTATAAAAGATGACTCTGTTGGAATTTGTACAAGGAAATGGGCCCTGAAGGGTGTGTTGGTTCAAGTATAAATTAACCATGAATCAATTCCAGAACATTCAAGGCTTGGAGTCAGACAAGAGTCTAGAGAAGAGTCTTTCCTTATGACTAAGCAGGAAGCCCAGCCTCAAGTGGGGGTAGGGAAGGTACATTAAATACATTCCAGTGGTTGGCATCTCAGTCCCATGACTGTCAGGCACGCCCATGGTGTGGTTCTTGGTACTGGCTGTAGTTCTAGAACATAGTGAGGATAAGGCCAAATAACCACTAACCAAGAAGACTAAGCCAAGAGACTGAATAAATTAAGTTTGAGTGTCAATTAGCTTGTGCTTTTGAAAATGACATTTTTATGTCAGAATAAAATTCCTGATGACAGTTTGCAGAGATATGCTCAGATTTGTCAAGGTGGCAGTGGAGTTGGGGAGTGAAACTACTTGTGCAGACAAGTAAGCACACCCTATGGCAGTTTGAAGATACTAAAGGATTAACTCTCATTTTTATTTAATTGTTTCTTTTTATTTTGAAAAAATAGAAATCATTTAAGAAATTCAAGCTTCATGAGTTGAAATCTATATTGTTTTTGTTAGAATCACTTGATTTTCTCCAATGGTTTTCCAACAAATTCAACTTTTGGGATGTGCTGAAAAATTATCTCCACTCCTTATATTTTTTGGTTCCCATAATAAAAAGTTCATCCTCCTTTTCTAAGTTTTACTTGTCATGGTTTGGTCAGCATTTTCATTTTGTAAGACAAAAAAAAATGTATTTTTATTCTACTTTCAAAATGCTTGCTAAGTCAATTCTAGTTTTGCATAATATGCTGATTTTATAAATGAAATTATGTATGCTCACTATTTTATAAAATCAGTTAACCCTTCAAGTTAGACAAAGTCAAGAAACAGGAGCAGCAAGGGGAAAATTTTTGTTGGTTATTGCAGTATATAAAAACCCCATCAAGTTTCTCATGACCTCAGCTGTCAAAAAACAAATAGAAGCTGGGTTATTTTGAAGGTTTTTTTTTAATAGTCTTTTTTCCCTGATCTAAGTAATCATAACACCCTTAATGATGATTTTATCTTTCTCATTCCCAGGCCCAGGTATATTCCACCACACATAGGCACAAGCTGTTGCACTGATTTCCTGTAGGACATTGGCTAACATACCAATGGGATTTTATTCAAAGAAGATTTTTTTAGTGGAGCCTAAAGGTAATGTTTTCAGTATATACATTTCCTAATTTTCTCTCAATTCTTTCTACCATAACGAATTTGTTAAGGTGGGAAAGATGGAATAATTGTGCAATAACCTTTGCTTGAATAATGAGAAAATAGCATTAAACTTTGGTTATTATCTATAATTGAAAATCAGTGTAATTCCTTTGTAGGTTGTATCAATGCTCAATGAAAATTGAATATATCCCAGGACAGCTAGTCATTAGCAAATAAAATCCACAGAAAGAAAATCCATTTCTTTATCTTTTATAAACTCTTTGCAAGTTCCTTTGTAATCAGGGTAGGGAAGGGAGAGGAGAGTATGTGTAATCTTTGGAATTTCATATGGTGTTCTACAGTTGACCTTTGCCTGGAGTAGAGGCAGGAAGAAAGAAATAATTCAATGGAGAATATAAATCAAATAATCATCAAAGGATTTGAAAATATCTGAGAAAATTAAAAGGTGAAAAATGCGTATTTCATGAGCCTTTGGTCTGTGTGAATCAACATTACTTTGTTTTGCAGAAGTGTATTAAGTTGGATTAAACAAACTATTCAGTTCAAGGTGATGCCTCAACACAGAAGTCAAAGCATTGTGACAAACTGCTATACTTGGCTGTTTTAAGGTCTCAAGCTGATGAAGCAGGAAACACCGATTATCAGGCCAGACAAAACTTTTTTGTAAATATGAAAAGAGGGTCTCTGACATTCAAGGCCAAGGAAAGAATAATCCAAATATTGATTTTGAAAGGTACAAGGAAAAAATGGATTCATGTACAGTATATATATAGGATTTGATTCCTGTAGCTCAGATCCTGCAGATCTTCTGTGAATATATGATTCCTTTCTTGTCTGCAAAAAAGCAATTTATGTAGCTGTCAGGCTTCAAAAGCCTTTGCTGTTACTAGACTGAGTTTCTGGAGATGATATTTTATTGCCACATCTGGGGTGAATTTTGCTTTGCCAGAAATGTTGGTAGAGGTGTCTTCAACCCATCTGCATATATGCACAAAAGACAAAGTCTGTTGAAGTGGTTACTTTGTGGAATGGTCTTGAATAGGAACTTTCAGGCTTTGTATAGCCTTAGTGATTACTCACTAGATCTTGCCTAACAGAGGGAAGAAAGAAGCTTTGAGGATGTCCAAACTGTTTAATGAGCGTAATACTAGAGGATTTTTTCCAAGTCTGGGAAGAAATGCAACAGAGAGGTCTTAATCATAGGTTATAGAAAGCTTGAGGGGGTTGACATGCATTCCAGTGTTGCTATAACCAACTAGGGTGGAAAGCCTCAAAGCAGATAACCTTGGCCAGAAATTAAGATCAACATCTGCAGTGTGTGACTTAATTCATTTGCTTCAGTCATCAAAAACATATGAAAACATTATTTGTTCCCTCTATTTGCAGTGTTGGGCTTTTGTGGAAATTAGTGGACTGTACAGAGTAGTTTTATGCTGAGGCAAGAGATCATAATGACTGTAGAGATTTCAGCTAGGTCTATGTCAGGGAAAAAAAATCAGAACAAAAAATAAAAATGACAGCTTCTGAAAGTGAGAAATGATTCTCCTCAAGATTTGGTACCTGAAATGAATTACTTTGCACTGTTTCATGGTAAATTTGGCCTTTAAATTCCTCTGATCCTTCTATTCTCTGAATTCAATTCAGTATTTAACACAGTCTTTGCAACCAAGATGCCCCCTTCCTCATGTGTTCTGATCACATCTGTCTGACAGAATTTACCTTATCCAGTCTCTCAGTTCAGTCCATTTGCTTGTCAAAGTTCTGCTGATGTAGATAATGTATCACATCAACCAATTTTCATGTTTTCTTCCTTCTATTCCACTTCAGGTTCTCTCATGAACCCAACAATTTTTCATGCACTAGGTACAAGGTGGTCCTCTTGCAAAATGGAAAGGTTGGCTAAAATGATCCTTGAGCAAAAGTCAAAACACTCTTCTGTCTCAAATTTGGGAAGACCTGAAAACCAGTTTCTTAATTTAATTCAGCTATACCTTTTAAGAAGCAAACTTTTCCTTTCATCTGAGGGAGGGGGAGCACCGTGTTCCAATTCAGACCAGCCTGCAAGGATAAACTTTTTTTTTTGTATATTCCCTCAGGTGAGGGTAAGTCCTACAGCTGAGCCCAGCTGCATTCCTCTCAGGGCTGAGATTCCTAGCAATCCCAGAATAGAAGAAAGAAAGCTGTGGTGATTTCTGGCTGCAAAGAGAGCAGTTAACTCTTGATTAGACTAAACATCTTGATGAGAAGAGGGGGTTCTTCATGATGTAATTTGTTGCTAAAACATTTGGTTTTAGCCAATAAATTTGGGCCACTTATGGCTGCTTGTTTTTGGGGAGAAGTCTGGGACAGTCCTTTGTATGAAGTTGTTGGAAAGACTTAGTTTAGTTTAATTTAGTTTAGTTACCATCAATTCCTTTTTCCAAAGGTTATCTCCATTCTGTGGAAGAAACTGTAGTGGTGCAAAGCTCTGTCCTAAACTGGAATTCCAATACCAGGAATATACAATCCAATTTTCAGAAATATTCCTTCCTCTTGCAAAAGGTTCCAGGTGCTCCAGGATTTATTTGAAATTGTCCTTTTGAGCTGACTTTTTATTGCAAGGAGATGGAAGATGAATCTGCAACTTCTTTCCTTCTCCTTACACATTTCTCTCTCTCTCTCTCTCTCTCTCTCTCTCTTTCTCTCTCTCTCTAAGGGTTCTCTTATTATATCTTTACTTAGAACTGAATTCCAGAGTCAGACTAAATAGGTACACTTAGTCCTTGCTTAACTACTGGTCATTTTATGACCATTCAAAATTATGATATCAATAGCACTTACTTATATACCACTTCACAATGCTTTACAGCCCTCTCTAAGCAGTTTATAAGTCATATATTACTGCTAACAATCTGGGTCCTACTGACCTTGGAAGGATGGAAGGCTGATTCAACCTTCAGCCGGTGAGAATCAAATTGCTGGCAGTCGGCAGAATTAGCCTGCAATACTGCATTCTAACCACTGTGCCACAGTCACGTGACCATGATTCACATTGTTCAAATGCATGAGTCTAACAACTGCTGCATTCACTGAAAAACTGCTACTAAAAAAAACTGCAAAATGACTTCTGATCACGGTGCGTCGACTTATGATCACCATTTAGAATGTAATTATGGGCTCAGTTATGATTGTAAGTTGAGGACTACTTGTAGATGGAGAGATTATTTTAGCTTAAGGACAGCTCGTGATAAAATTTCACAAAAACTATTAGCACTTTGAATGGAGGAAAAATATAAAAACTCTACCCATTTGTGAGAATTTCATTAATTTTGCTTCTCATTTGAAAACAGAAGGAACCATTTTTTCCCATCAAACCAATGAGAATAGCTGAGAAGAAATGAAGAAGTTTTTGGGGTGGAATAATCATTGAAAATTGTACAAGTTTATTTTTGTGCCCCAGCAGTGGTAAAAAAAATATAGGAACAAAATTATTATACTTAGATATCTTTCCTAGAGTTTTAGCTAGCAAAGTTATAGCTAAAATAACATTCCAGGATGAGCAAAGATGACAAGGAAGCATAAATCCATATGCTTAAGACTACATAATCAAAAGCAGCTAATTTATTAGTTAAGGCTAAACTCTTTTGAGAGGCTATTGCAAATTATCTCTTGACCTGTATGATAAGCTTTGCAGACCTGTCTTTGTACTGCAGTACTAAGTCATTCAGTGAATAAGAATATAAAGCAAGATTTTCTTGGGCATGGCATTCAAGATTTTCTTTGGTATGTTTTCCTTATGAAAAATAAATCAACACTCTCCCTGTTAAAAAGTGATTTTTAAACATTCTGATTGGCTTTTACTGTCTGGATCTATTTCTTTGATTGTTTTCAGTGGGCGATTTTAACTATGTGGCCCTTAATACTATGGCTTTAATGGCTTAATTTTTCATCCCTGCACCTTTGCATATTCAACTACTGTTTGGTAAAGTAGTGGAATATTAGAAAAAATATTTAATTTTAAGAATAGCAACAGTAATAGCATTGCTATTGTAATATCTCTAGATGGCAGTAGAAATTTGGGTATAGGTTAAAAAAATAAAAACATCACTGAAAGAAAAAGAGCATTGAGTACGTTTCCCTGCATCTACATGGAGGGAAGTGTGTAGTGGGGTGCCCCAGGGCTCTGTTCTGGGCCCAGTGCTCTTCTTCATCAACAATTTGGATGAGGGGATAGATGGGGAACTCATCAAATTTGTGGATGACACCAAGCTGGAATAGCCAACACTCCAGAAGACAGGCTTAAGATACAGGAGGACCTGGACAGACTTGAATACTGGGCACTATATAACAAAATGAAATTCAATGGTGAAAAAAGTAAGGTTCTACATTTAGGCAAGAAAAACCAAATGTACAGGTATAGTATAGGGGGTACCTTGCTCAATAGTAGTAACTGTGAGAGGGATCTTGGAGACCTAGTGGACAATCACTTAAATATGAGCCAGCAGTGTGCTGCAGCTGCCAAAAAAGCCAACTCAGTGCTGGGTTGCATTAACAGAGGGATAGAATCAAGATCACGTGAAGTATTAATACCACTTTACAATGCCTTGGTAAGGCCACACTTGGAATACTGCATCCAGTTTTGGTCACCACGATGTAAAAAAGATGTTGAGACTTTAGAAAGAGTACAGAGAAGAGCAACAAAGATGATTAGGGGACTGGAGGCTAAAACATATGAGGAATGGTTGCTGGAATTGGGTATGTCTAGTTTAACGAAGAAAAGGACGAGGGGGGACATGATAGCAGTGTTCCAATATCTCAGGGGCTGCCACAGAAAAGAGGGAGTCAAGCTATTCTCCAAAGCGCCTGAGGGCAGGACAAGAAGCAACGGATGGAAACTAATCAAGGAGAGAAGCAACCTAGAACTAAGGAGAAACTTCCTGACAGTTAGAACAATTAACCAGTGGAACAACCTGCCTCCAGAAGCGATGAATGCTCCAACCCTGGAGGTTTTTAAGAAGAGACTGGACAGCCATTTGTCCGAAATGGTGTAGGGTTTCCTGCCTGAGCAAGGGGTTGGACTCGATGACCTCCAAGGTCCCTTCCAACTTTATTATTATTATTATTATTATTATTAGTATTAGTATTAGTATTAGTATTAGTATTAGTATTACAGAAGAACTTTAGTGTTTACTCAACATATACATAACCAGGAAATGAATAATTAGTATTTCAGTTTATTTAAAAGCTTATTTGGATATCTAATGAAGGGAACAATAGTACAATAACATCAAGCAGCCTAAATTTTTCATGTTTGGATTATATCCAGTGAATATTATGTTGGCATAATATATATTTTTATTCCTATATTTAGAGCAATATTTAATATTCAAGAATTATTATTTATGATTGTATCTTATGATTTATGATCCATGAATTATCACTTTGTTGTTTGTATGTACCCTGAAGGCTTATGCATCGGAGACAAATTCCTTGTGTGTCCAATCACACATTTTGTTTATGAGGTGAAAAAAAGACACTTGGATTTCCAGAATTAAGTGCTTAAATGTTATCACTGAACTATTGCAAGTTGTATCACAGATTATTAAATTTTGTTCATTAAAAGATGATTATATAAATTAAATATCAGGGATAATTGTACAGATGTTTAATATATACTATTTGGAATAAATAACATTATTATCACTTTTTTTTTCAACAAATGCATAGGAATGGTTACAAAAACACATGAACATTGAGGAATACAAGTATATAGTCTGATACTGACACCTGCAGGAGCAATGTGGGTGTTTACGACATTGGATAGATTAGCATATGTTCAGGAACGATATTGTGGTGCAGTAGCTGAGGTATATCAGAGTTAAGCAGATTCAAGTCCTTTGTCAGTCATGGAAGCTTGGGTTACTTTGCCAATCCTCAACCCAACTACTGGAAAATATGTGTATGAACTAAGTGCATACTTGAAGAAAAAGTAGAAATACATCAATACAGTATTCAGGCACAAACTGCATAGTGAGCTTGTTTTTGGACAAATAGTTAAAGAGATCATATTCACTATGGAAATACAACTTTATAGTATTCATACAGGCAACTTTAAGATTTCATCTCAATGCAACTAGAAATGATCTGCTAATTTGGGATTATATTCAATAGATTTTTTTTGTTTGTTGTGAGAGAATCTGCTCACAAACTCCCCTGCCCCTTTCTGAAGTCCATGGGGTATAGACAACATGGCTGGCTTCCTCAGTTTAAGTTACTCTTTTCCCCACAGAGGTGCAAGATGCTCTCACCCCCTGGCTTTTTATACAAAAGGTTGTATTTCATCCTAACTTTGTAAAGAGAGCCAGTTTGGTGTAGTGGTTAAAAGCATTTGTCTAGCAACTGGGAGACTGTTCTAGTCCTGATTTATGTATGAATCCAGCTGGTGACGTTGGACCAGTCCTTTCTTTCAATGGCAAATCACTTCAAAATCTTGTCAAGAAAACTTCGGGGACTTGTCCACACAGTCATAAAGAGTCAAGACTGACTCAAAGGCCCCTAACAATTGGATACAAACTGATGAAGAAAACCATGTTGCTGTTGTTTCTCAACAGGAATATAGAAAGGGACAGTTTAAAATGATGCAAGATGAATAAATAAATCATTTATTTGAACAGGGATTTGAAAACTATGTCTACATGGCAGTATGCAACCAGCACCATTATTGTAGTTTCCTCCAAACTAACTAGAACCAGAGGAGAAAAAAAATTGCTTGGGCATGGTACATGAGGAGTATTTAAGGGGCAAAAGGATTAATCCTTTAATACCCCAACTTGCCCGCAAAATTTTGGCACATGGCTCTTAGTTCTGTTCACCACCCAGAGATTCAATAGACTAGCCCCATCCGTCTCTCGCTCCTATTGCATTTTTTACTTTGGTCATGTTGTTTGTCTGTTTAGATGAAGAAATATCTCTGAAACAATGATCCAACAAGTCTCAGGTTGACTACGGGCACTTCCACATTGCCACTGCAATGCTGAAAATAAAGAGCAAAAATCATTGCCCCATCTTCATATCCCACAAGTCCTGTAGTTCTTTATAAAGTCGCTCATTCCATTTCATGCAAAATGAAATAAGATCAATTGCTTGTGTGTTTCTACCATTCATTGCCTTATTTTATGTTATGTGCATTTGTCTAAAAATTTGTTTGAAGGAATTTGGGGAAGCAGATGTATTTGAGGGGTGTCAAAAGCATCAATTTCTGCAAAGGCAAGTGAAACTTGGGGTAGGAAAGGGGAGATTGGAGTTCCTGCAAATGGGTAGTTCCCACAATCTCTCCAGAGTTACTTTTTTTAAATGGTTAATTTTACTATGATTTTGAGTATGTTGCTGCTGAGCCAGGAATAAATGGTCACAGCTCTTCAATAGGGTCAATATTGTGGCATCTTAGTCTTCAGCTGCTTTTGAGGTGAATATATATAGAACTGTCCTACTCTCTTGACAGCTAAATCACTGGTGAGTTTTTCTTACCTGAATTTTCTTCACTGATTTGAGAACCATCCCCCCGACACATTTCACATTTCAATCATCCTGTTTTTCAACTTTTCTAGCTGCAACGAATTATTAAACATTTAGCATACTGACCCCTAAAAATCTGGATGGCAAAATATATCTGCTTTTTTACTGAAAAATTCTTAAACTTTCTTTCATTTTTCTTTCAGAATCCACTGAAATACCATCTCAAAATTATTTTACTTATGCCCATCTCTGAATTTTTTTCAGTTAAATCAATGTTTCTGTATAATCCCCATGTTCCTTTCTGTGTCTCCTCAGCTGCATGCTTTCCACATCTTGCTGAAATTTATTAGGCCAATGCCATAAAATAAGTCCCTTTTCAGTAATCATCTTCTTTTTAATCAGCTTAAATATTTACTTAAATTCTTCAAGGCACTGTTCGGGAATCAGCATGAGACTCATATATACTCTTTGATACTGTCTATGTTCTTGTGCTTCAATTTTTCATTATAGTATAATGTTGGAACTATTTCCCATCTTCACATCCAAGCTTTTGATATTCACATGGACTTTGCAGTTTCATTTTTTCCTTTACTACTTATTTCCCAATCCTCTTTGTATTGTATTACAGAGATAATGAATTCTCTATCATAAGAATCTAACAGTGCTAGAAAGGAAATAACTTTGTGCTTCCTCATTTGCAACACTGAGATCTTTCAGTGTGTTCTGGACTATATTCTCAATGATTTTTTTCCATAATCATAAATGAATAGAAATCTCCAGGAAGTTCATACATTATATTTGAGGTTTTCCTCAAAAGCCCTTTGTTCCTCAGTTAGGTTTTGTTCCAAACCAATACTTTTCAGACTCTGAATTTTCTGCAAGATTATGGGACTGCATACAATTCAAAATTATGACCAAGAGTTTTGTACACAACATTTTCTGCAGTAGTAGTTTGAATAGCATGCGGTAGTAAGTAATTTGAATAGCATGCGGTAGTAAGTATTGAATCCACAAGATTCAATATTGACAAATAATCAAATTAAGGTGGTTAATTGTACTCCAATTTCAGAAAAATCAAGCATTTTATTTTTTGAACAGTGCATTTGAATCTCTTGCACTTGCAGTTCACAGAAAGTATACAGGCTTAAGCAGTGTTGCCACAGCCTTTATCAATGACAGCAAACCCTTTGGGCTCGTCATGAAAAAACTTCAGAAAGTGCATAAGTTGGCTCTACAGGAGCGTCACCCCCTCTGAACAAAAGATAAACAATTCTTTGTCTTTCCCTGCCTTCTATCTTGGCCACCCTGAACAGTGGCTCTTGGTGGCAACTCCAAGATTACACCTAAAGCAGAAGCTCAGGCCTTGACTTCCATCTTAGTGTCACTGCTGCCACTCAAAGAGGCTGATTCATATCATTCCCCAAGGCCTATGAGCCTGGGGAATGGTGCAATGGCCCAATGGCCCAGCATTACCTAGAATCAGCTGGGTGCTGCTTACCTTCTCTTTTTGTTGATAGGCCCATGCGACCTACCCAAGGCTGCTCTGGGTGGCATGAGGCCTTTGTTCTTGCTGCAGCTTTGGAGGATGTTCTTCCTTGGCCTCTATAACCTCCAAAGACCATATGAAAACATGCCCCCTTTTCTCAGGCATTTCGGAGACTCTGGAGGCCATGTGGGAAACAGACTCTTGCAGTGTCCTCTTGCACAGCCTCAAAACAACAACAACAACAACACCCACACACCCACAAGAATGGGGAGGGCTTTCAAGAATAGTTGTTGTCAGGTATTGGTGAATACTGGTGTCACCTAAAATGTTGTGAAGTGTCACCTTTGAAACATGTGTCATAGGTTTACCATTGCTGGCCTAGATGATGATAAAGGCTGATTATTTTTGTGGAGGATTGTTCAGAAGCCTGAGATTCTGATTCAGTCAGACGTTCCATTTTCACATACATCCATTTAATGCAAGGTGAAATACAATTTTCAGAAGAGAAAAAAAAATCCACCAATATACTTTCCCATCATGACAAAAATGCTGTTCTTCGGAGGTTTTTGTTGTTAATTCAGAAAATAGTTTATTGTTTTTAACTTCTTAATACTCAGTGAAGAATTTCCAGTACAATCCTGGAGACTTTTTCTTTTGAGGAAAGAACTGTAGAAGAAAACCCTTCTGAGGGTAAAAGTTAGAGATTTTTTAATTTAATTTTTGGATAATACCATTCATCATTGGCAGACTCAAACTGGCTATGTACCTGTTTGTTAATCTAGCTACCTCAATAAATCAGATATCTTTCCAGTCTGCTATGTCTATGCCCCAATACAAATACTTAATATATCATCTAGTCCTTCTCCAAAGCAATATTAGCTTGTGAAATATCAGTTCATATAAATTCTGCCATCGCAGAAAATCCATCTTGACTGCTGATAGTGATTTAGGTTTTTATTCTTGTTATTAATTTCACAAATTGAATTTCAATTTTCTGATATGGCTTTGGGAAATGAGCACATGCAAATCTAGTTTCTCTGAATGCTTTGATCACATTTTACTGCTTGCAGACTCTAGATCAAACTCAAGAAAGCTATATTCTATATGAATGGATCTTATTTGTCATTTGTTAATTTCTTGAGATTAGATATAAATATGTACAGGTAGTCCTTGAGGTACGACTATATTTGAGCCCAAAATTTATGTTGCTAAGTGAAACATTTGTTAAGTGAGATTTGCCCCATTTTATGAATTTTCTTGCCACAGTTGCTAAGTGAATCATTACATTTGTAAAGTTAGTAACATGGTTGTTAAGTGAATCTGGCTTCACTTTTGATTTTGCTCGTCAGGCCTCAAAAGCTGACCTGACATGACCCTAGGACACTGCAAGTGTCATAAATATGAACCAGTTACTAAGCATCTGAATTTTGATCCTGTGGACCATGGGGATGCTGCAATGGTCATAAGTGTGAAAAATGGTCATAAGTCACTTTTTCCAGTTCTGTTATAATTTTAAATGGTAACTAAATGAACTATTGTAAATTGAGAGATACCTGTATATTCTGTTATAGCCTTTGATGTTTCTGGTGAAGCTTTGTCAGTAGCTTTGATAAGTATTGCTCCTAGACTATAGTTTGATAAATATGTGTTTCTAAGGAAATACTTAGATTGACAAAGTAGCATATTTTGGAACAGCCAACTTCAATAATAAATATTTCTGAGACAAGACTTTTTGCTGAAATATTTCCACAAAAATAGTAGGTGTCTTAATGCAATTTTTTGCAATACTGACAAAATTTCCAAAATGTTGCTTTATATCAAAATAGTTAACATAGTTTTATTTTTTCATGAAGATTATCCCATATAACTACCTGAACTACCATTAGTATGAGAGGTCATACATACTGCAGCAAATGTGAAAATCTCATTACAAAATTTAACTTTGAATTCTTTTTTGTGAAATTTGCTACAGTATATTTGTTAAGAATTTAAATTCATGGATTTGTTCAATGAGATTCAGTGCCCCTGTTTCAGTAATATGGCAAGTAATATACAGAATGCTGTTGAATATAATGGCTATGGCAAACAGGTCAAAAGGATGCAATTAAATATTTTGTTTTCTTATGAAGACTTTGGGAGTCTTAAAGAATAAGCTATGATAGCTCCATGCATTCAGATCTTATAAACACTTCTCATATGTACATTTCAGCTAATTCTCCTTTGACAATTTCTTTAATCTCTCTTCCTCTTTTATTTTTGCTGCAAGATTTAACTTTAGGAAGCCCTGTGCTGGAAGCTTGCCCATAAATCTTGACATAAATCTGTGCTGGAATCTTGCCCATAAATCCATACCTTCATCTGGATTTATGTATTATCTGAATTGCTGGATCATGAGTCATCCACATTGCTATAAAATCTTATTTTGAAAACATCTTCAAAAATAGAGCCTGTTACATCTTGACAGAAAATAATGTCACCACATTTTTCTTTTTGTTTAAGTACATTGGGCAATGATAGTTTGACATGCTTTTTTGAAGTAGATGATCTCACTTATCTCACTTCTTTAAAAAAGAGAAGATAAAATTTAAAATTATCAAATAAAAGTATAGAAAATTATATAGTGGTCAACATACAGTTCTTGTTGATATTCAGTACCAATATATACTGCACGTTAATAATATTTCATCTTCTGTTTAGTTGTGTGCCAATTCTTGGACACTATCTGGAGTAACTCCTACAGTTTTCTTGGCAAAGTTTTTCAGAAGTGGTTTGCTATTGTGTCTTTCCTAGGGCTGAGAGAAAAGGACTGGCCCAAGTCACCTATCTGGCTCTATGCCAAATGCAGAACTAAATTTCCCAAGTTCTATTCTGACACCCTAACCACTACCCCAAACTGGCTTTTGTATGCTAATAAATAATACCAAAAAATCAACCTAAATAGTACCTTGAGAAATTAATGGATGAATAGAGTCCAATATATTATTGTAAATATATACTTCAATCTTTTAAAGAGAAAAGTATCTATGTTCAAGTTATACCTTCAAATGTTTGAGTTAACCAGTATTACTTCTAGTTACCACATAACATATGATTTATTAAATCATAAATTCATTCTCTTTCCGAGCAGTTACAGGTAATGACCACTAAGTGATCCAATTGTTCAGTGAGATATCGTAAGACTGCCCTACTTAGAAAAAGCAATTCTGGCAATCTTTGTTGCCACTATTAATTAAATTACATGTGTCATTACTGTCAAATCTCATTTCTATTATCTTGGTTAATTTAATTTTGAAGAATGGTAGCCAATTTTAAGACTAAATGAAAGAAAACACTGGCATTATGGGCTGACATGAAATATTAATCATGTCCCTTGTTGAAACATACATAGACACGTGTATTCCTGATCTGAATAGGAGTCCAGCTATTTAAGAAATACCATACAAGCCATGGTATTCCATACACTATGGAAGAGAAAGTTGGACTATAAAGAAGCAGGATAGGAAAAATATTGATGCCTTTGAACGTTGGTGTTGAAGAATAATCCCAAGAATACTGTGGACAGCAAAGAAAACAAACTGATGGATCAAATAAATCAGCTTAAAGTTCTCATTTGAGACACAAATAATTAGGCTGAAATAATCCTATTCTGGACACATTATGAGAAGACTCAGTTCTCTGAAAAAAGTTCTAATGCTGGGAAAGTTGGAAGAAAAGAGAAGAGAACAACCAGCAGCTATGAGGCTGTATACTGTTACAGTTGCAATAATTACCCTTCTGAGAGCGGGGTTAGAAGTCTCAAGGAGTCAAAAATGACTGATGGTACTTGATCACTTTATTCCACAAATCCTTTAATATTGGAATGAATTTCCAGAGTGACTTGTAATATTTAATTTTGAAAAACCACATAAGCTTTAAAACCCTTTTCTGAATATATTGGATATAAAAGTGATATAAAATTCATTGTGAATGTGCTTGTTGATCTGTATCTGTCTTTGTGCCTGGCAAGAACACCACATTAATTCTTTCCAGATGAATTAATTAATTAATTAATTAATTAATTAATTAATATTAATCGATTGAAGTAAAAAACTGAAGAATTTTATGGCACCTGAAAATCTAATCAATTTATTTTGAAATAAGAATTTGTGAAAAATTATTTTTTCTAGATTAAGATGTTTAATTACAAAAGTGAATAAAACAACCTTTTCCCCAGAATAAAAATAATCAATATACAGTTGCATATTTATAGAATTTTATTTTTTATATTCAAAATCTTTTCAAATGAATAACATAAATTTATAACTCAGCAAATGAACAAAATATATACATACTGAATCCATCATCCTGACAATGATATAAATAAAAACTATAATACTTTGGTTTTGATTAAATCATATTATATATTACAGTACAGAGAAACCTATTTGCATGAAAACATATTTCCACATTTTTTCACTCTTTAACAATCAGAGTGTTTATTTGTTACACAATATGTAATATATGTATGTATATAGTCTATAGGCATTATTTGGGACAAATTCTTTGACTCTGATAAAGAATTTTATTTTTGATACGCGTAAAATAAAATGGATCTAATCATAACCATAATAATCTGTACTGAAATTATCTTTTAATTATGCTCAAGATGGCACTAAGTGAAGAAATAGGCAGCATGAGACTATATAATCATTTCCCTTTTTCCCAGCAGGGTTCCTGAGCTACCTGGCTTTTAAAGGGATATTTTATTCATTATTATTATTGGAAACTAGCATGCTTCCAAGTAAAATATCCACTCTTACTTTTATTTACAAAAAATACTCTGGGCATAACATAGATATTTTAGGAATGGTGGCTGGCTGTAACTCACCACTTTGGTTTGGAACTGGGAGGAACTATTTTGTTCAGGTTGCTTTCTGGTAGATGTGGCCACCATAACAAGCCATTGTGGAGATGGTTAAATTCTCCATTAAGGCTGGCGGTTGTGAAAGTTCCCAGAATGTGCTTTCATGATTGCAGATGCCACCCTGGTGTTCAGAAACTGACATCTAAAACACTAGGACCCAGAGTGTTGGAGCAGGACGTGCACAAAAATATATACTCAAAGGTTTTGAAAGTTAGCCTTGTTTAAACCTAACTTCACAAAACACAACAGTGACTTATCTTCATTTATTGGGCAGTCCTGAAATGAAGATACTGTAGATGTTGGAAACACACACACACACACACACACACACACACACACACACACACACACACACACAAACAAAATACAGTCATTTTAAGACAGCTGTGTAGAAAAAAATGATTTTTAAAGTATATTGAGTGTTTCAAAGTAAACAAATGAATGCAAACCAATCAGACATTTGAAATGTGGATCCATTGTGTTCATTTAGAGCCCAAACAGACTTGAGATTCCCAAGACAATTGACAGTGAATTTAATTAAAAAGCTCCTCCCTCCACTCTTATTTCCCCTTCTGCTGATTAGAATTTTAGATAGCTGGGATTGAGGGAAATTTGAGAATGATGATCATAATAACTTTCCGCATCATACTTTATGTTGACTCTAGTCACTGCTGCTAGTATTATATTTTATACTCCGTGCATTAAATGCTGATAAATAGAAAAGTATACTATTTAGAGTATGAACTATATCAGTTGCAGTTCTGGATATTATTTTAATTGAAGATAAATCTTTAGTTGGTGCTGGTGTTAAAAAAATGGTCTTTATTAAAAAAAAAACCGTACTACTGTACTTGCTAACATTCTGCTGTTTTTCCTTTTTAGATAGTATAGGCTTATGAAAAATAATAAGGCACATTTGTTGCATTAAACAAATAACAAAACTGCCATCCTCTTTAGGCAAAATGGGCAATCCCCCATTCTAGAATAAAATAATTGAACACCATATCATATTTTAACATTTTGCTCTAGCTTTGGAGCGGTACCATTAATAGTCTAACTAATAACCATAAGCCATTTTTGTCAGAAATGCAGTCCACGAGAAAGCATTTTGCTTTTTAACATTGAGGTGGAATTTGTATTATATGTTAGAATTTGTTTTCCTGCAGGCAATTGTTGGTTCTCTATGGAAACAGATGTAATATTTGGCTTCCATTTTTCTTTTCATATCTCACTAAAAGGAAAAAGAGTATTATTTAATCACAGCCTTAAGAGCATAAGAAAGATTATTACTTTCCCTTTCCAATTCAGGAGTGAATATGAATATACTGTATATGTGTGCGCACATACGTACGTGTGTGTGCATGCATGTGTGTTTGTGTGTGTGTGGTGTAAAACAAACAATAACATGTGAATCTGAAGTTGTTCCAAGGACAGTGTAATTCTGCATAATCACATACAGTATAATGCAGAGTTTCTGAAGATTTTCGAAGGCTGAAATCCCATAACATTATCAAACCTCACAAGATTTGGGACAATTTTATTCTGAAATTAAATTTGAGGGATCCATGGACTTCATCTGCTGTTCTGTAATCTCATACCAATTCAACAAAAACCTTCCTGAATACAGTATTGCCAAATATTTTTGTGATAATCAAACTTCCAGCATATACGTCCTACTTTGGTTTTGATCAGAGTCAAGAAGAAAAATTAACTAGAATCTGATACAAAATATGTATATTTATATTGTTATAATCTAAATTATAGATTGAATGAGATGGAGTGGCCTCACATATAATATTAACTCATAAACTATGTTTAACAAATACATAGCTTGAGTGGTCATCATGAGAATAAAACGCCACTTTTAGGTGATGTAGCCTGACTTTCTGAGGTCAGAATTATTTTATTCCAGGGCTATGTATAGGAATATGCTGTGACTATCAGAACTGTTTGACAACAACAAAATTATTTCCAAAGTTTATTCCCTTCCCCAATATAATTGAGCTTGACAGAAAATTCCAATGAATTCAGTGCAATTAGGAAACATGCATAGAGATTATACTGTAAATCTCAAAGAACTTTGAGGGAGAAAGGGAGTATTTGGGGGAGAAGGGGAACTTGAAGGCTATTTAATTCATTCCCTGTTTGACACAGGAAATAAGAATTAAAACATTTTCAAGATGAGAAAGTCAATTCCTAATTCTAGGTAATTAGCAATACTCTCAGACAATACTGTCATTATCAAATTATTCAGCTGAACGCTATCCTCTTGTTACTTAAACCCAATGAATTTAATCATTCTCCCTATGGTAACAATAAGCATTCAACTTTCTCTTCTATGTGTCAGTCCTTACGAAATTTAAAGAATATTATCATGTTTTACGTATAGGAAAAGATAAAGAAAGACATGAGGACCATCAGCAACAAGGTTGATGGACTTGATAAAAAGACAGATATCACTGTTGGAAGTTTTGTAGGGCAAAACAAATGCCTTTCTTAATATATCAGCATTATGAACTTACTCTTGTTGTTCTTCATTTAGTTCAGGAGCAGGCTGAACATCTTCATAAACTGCAACATTAATATCTTGACTTTGCACAACATTAGAGTCAGTAACATCAGAGTCAATAACACGCCGTCTTGGTACCTGAAAGAAGCAAGTTACAATTTTATTTAAATAAATAAGCAAGACCACAATAAAAGCCCGTTCGTTCGTTCGTTCGTTCGTTCGTTCGTTCATTCATTCAGTCAGTCAGTCAGTCAGTTTCTATAGTCAACCAATTCAACCAAGTGATTCTGGATAGCTTATAATTCTAAAATTATGAAAGAATTTAAAAAACATTAAAACTGTAAAAACATCCACAAAATAAATAAATTAATAAAGAAAGAAAGTATATCCAATATGGAAAATGGCAAAACTGATGGATTAGGACAAAGGAGACTACTTCTTACACCCCATGAATCTCAATGAGATGTTTTAGGTCTGTCACTTTTCCAGCCTAAAATACATAATAAGTTTGTTGATATGAAGATAAATTGGGAGAGGTACAGAAAATACAGGTAGTCCTCCCTTAACAATGGTAATTGGGACTGGAATTTCAATGGCTAAGAAGTGCAATTATAAACAATAATTTCATACGACCACCCCACTAGTGATAACAGTTCCACCAGTCCCCAGATACCAAAGTTAAGCAAGGGCTTCACATGACCATAGCTTCCACTGTCTTGCCGGTTCCACATTGACTTTGCTTGTGGGAACCTGACAGGGAAAGTTGTAATCACAATCATATGACCAGCTGGAACTATGACAGTCAGAAATCTGGGCTGATTGCTGACCATTTGGATTATAATCATGTAACACGGGAATGCTGCAACTGTTGAAACTTCAAGGACCAGTCATAAGTAGTACTCTTTCAGCACCATTACAAGTTGAAGAGGACTTTAACTCCTGCAATCTTCCAGGGGGAAGAACTGAATGTACAAGTGGAAAATAAAATAAGTTTTCAAAACATGAATTTATAGGAATTCTAGTCTGGGGAATCTTTAAATTATTTTATAATTCCATTTTACAGACAGTACTGATTCTTCAAATATGTCTATTTCATTATACACTCACTTACCGGTGGGATTTCTGCAGTATCTGGAAGTGTAATAAATTCATATACTCCAAAATCTCTCGTTGCCCTTTCATGTCCTAAAAATAGAAGTGTTTAAATAAAAATATGAATTATGATAAGTTGTACTATATTACACTTCAAGTTGAATTCCAATGAAATATTACGAAAAATTTGAATGCTGGAACATTCAAGTAAGAGAATGGAGGTAATAGAATGGCAGTTATGTACATGATGTTCCAAGTAAAACATTAAAAGAAAACAGAAGTTCAGAAAAGAAGTTCACACTTTCCCCACAAAGTAAATATATAAAAGTGAAAAAAAAATCATCCTTATTTGTCCTCAAACACTAATTTTATTCCAAAGTAGATGAAGTACATAGAAGCGTTATAATTTCAGATTTCAAAATAAAATGTCTGACCATCACAAATTTTGCCCTCATATCTGTAAGAAATGGTTTATGTGTGTTTATGTGTCTGTATCCATGTCCCTGCACTTACTTTCCTTGGTATCCCACAAGTTGCCTGACTCATCTGTTTGACATTTTACATATTAATTTAAAAAACAGGAATCAGTCATACTGCAAAAAAACACTAATCTCCAGCATAATTCCAAGCATATTTCTGGTCCAAAAAGGGTTTTTTTTAATTAAAAAAATATGAAAAGCTATAACCCAGACCTTTGTTCCAAAGTAAATGTATCTGCCCTTCTCCATAAAAGACAAAGATAAGAAAATTTGTCACTTAACAGGCATCCCTAGCACTTATATTGTAGAGTGGTCAACAGCCCATTCTATCCAACTGTCTATCATCTATCTGTCTGTCTGTCTGCCTGTTTATATATCTTTCTAGTTTATGATGGATATGTTTCTATTTTATGCTTATATTACCTGAAACAGTTTGTCCTCTTCGGTATCGTGCGTTAGTCCTGCGGCCTTTTCTAAAAAATGGAAATATTTTAAATTTCATGTAGTATTAGTATATAGCAGATTTTTTTCAAAAAAATAAAAATAAAAGTTTATGTAGAATTCATATAAAAGGGAATAATTTAGTTTTCTACCTGTTCAATTTCTGCTGTATTACTGCAAAAAAGAAAGAAAATAAAAATTGTTTTTAAAAAGTATAATTTATAGAAACTTTGAAGGTAATAGGTTTTCATTTAACATACCTTTATGTGGCTGAAATCGTTTCCATATTGCGAAAATACATATTGATACTATCAAAAATAATGAAATTCCAGTTATTATTGCTAGAGGTGATAAATATTTCCATTTCTGATCCAGTCCTATAACAGAGAAGGACAGAAATTAATCTTTGATAGTTAATTGTGAAATAATTCTGAATAGGCATATAGTATAACATTCATAAATTTATTTAATTTTTTTTTAAAAAAAATCAGAACATCAGATACAAAACTGCTTAAGTTTGATTTAGGTGATCCCAGAACATCTAAAATTAGTATCTCTTGTTGCTCAGACAAACCAGAATATTAATAAATCCCTGCATTTAGATTAGGTATAGATTAAAGGTGCTTCTATGGCATCTTCTCCCAATGTTGACATTCAGATATAGCTGGATTGCATGTTCTATTATCCTTAGTAAAAATAACCAATACCAACCATTGATGGAGCTGTTCTCCAAATATACGAACCCAAATGGGTGCCTATTATATTACAATGGTGAAAACAAATTCACACATTTTGTGAATATATACATGAAGGGACAATATTTTGGGGACAACTGATACCTAATATAGATGTTATTTTGGTTTTAGTAACTGTTATAAAATATTAAGTCAAATTTCTTTATTCCATTCTTTGGTCAATCACAGCACAATTTCTCAACATTTATGTTACCAACATGTAACACTCTCCCTTCCTCTCTCTCTCTCTCTCATTTATTTTTCTTTCATTCTCATAAAAGCAAGCATAATGGGATATTTAATTAATTGATTCTGGAAAAAACAAATAATAACTAAGAGTTCATTTACACCTGGCATTTGTATCAATACAGCATTAGGACTTCATTACTTTGTTCCCACATCATTATCCATCTTGGGCAACAGAAATGAATTTCTTCTGTTTGGTTGCTGCATAGTTCAAATTATAAACCTTCCATTTTGTAATTTGCCTGGTTTGAATTTCAATTTTTCCATATATTTGTTCTCATGTCACTCTAAATAAACTCAGAACTCCCTAATCGATTTCAGAAAGAATATTATCTGAGAATCAAATTCTAATTCTCATGTTCCATTTCAAATCAGTTTTAGAATTAAAAAATGCTGTTATATAAATAAGGTGCCCTGAACTTTTGCTCCATCTTTACTTTTGGATCCTAAGCTCTCTTATTCTCTTCCTAATTAGATACATATAAAGAGGCTCTATAGGTAGTCCTTGCTGAATGAATACAACTGGGACCAACAATTCAGTTGTTAAACAAAATGGCTGCTAGAGTAAGTGAAACTGAGATTGTGTTTATAATCTTAGTTTAGCTTTCTTTTGCATTGCAGACATGCAAAGATCATAATGAGAGAATTGGTCATAAAGTTACTTTTTCAATATTACCAGCTGTGAGTGATTACTATATAAGACAGTTGTTAAACAATGACTATCTGTTCAGTATACTTAGAGCTATGGTTGCAACTCTTGAGGAAAATGCTTTATTGCAAACAATTATCTCATATCATCATTAGAGCTTTTAGGAAAAAAGCAATGCGCAAAAAGAACAATATTTGGCCAGTAGCTTGCTCTCCTATTATCAGCTTATATTTATTTTTATCCCTATTTTATGATGTTCTGCTACCTTAGATTCTACTAAGATATTGTGGTTTTTGACTAAATGGCAATTGATTGGTTAGAGAGAACACAAAATAGTTATCAGGGTCCTCTGCTTATTCTTGACATTCTGATGTAAGAGTTTGCACAGCTAGTTTCAAGCAGTTTCAGAATATTCTCTGTGAGATTGGGAAGGAGAAACAGTAAGGAGTATTGTCCTACCCAGGGTTCAAGATTCATAGACACTAGTTAATAGAACTACCCACTGGGTCTCTAACAAAATATCACCTAAATTCCTTCAAAGCACAAATGCATGTTATCATTTGAACTGTTTTAGTCGAGACTGTTCAACTAACTGAATACATTTTATGGAGCACATTGGTTGCAATGTAAAGCTGGGTTCATTCACCTAAACAAGTACTGATTTATATATACTGCTCACAAAAATAAAGGGAACGCAAACTCCTTCAGTTCCATGTTAAAATGTTCCCTTTATTTTTTTGAGCAGTATATTAGTACTTATGTTTCTGTATTCTATTTTATCTTACACTATTTATTTTATTTTGTTATATTTTAACTCTTCTTTCTTCATCTTATCTTATTTTATTCTACTTTGTTGCAACTCATGCCCATTATTTTTTGATAATGATCAACTGACTAATCAATAAAGTACCAATGAAAGAGAATAATCAATAAAAAATAATCAATAAAAATATTTTGAGTACTGTACAGGAATAGCAAGACATGAGAGAAATGTACTGTATGTGGTTTCTTTCTACAGCCATCTCTCATCTAAGAATTGCCTTACACTAAATATTGCCTTAAATGACTACTTACCTCTGGGTTTCAAAAAAAATGATGTATTCTGTTCCACCCTTTCACTGAGGCGACAAAGAACATACATGCAAAAAATATGTAATTGCTCCTTCTTCTTGAACAGGAAAACCACTTTATCTACCCAGTTTAGGTATTTGAAATTGTTATTTTCAAAAAGTTATTTGTCCTCATTTTTGCAGATGAAATTGTTAATGGGGATTTATTGTGTCACTCATTAACAGCATTTGCTGTGCTTGAAGGTGGCCATTAGGTGATGCTCACACTTCATCCCTACTTCTAACAACTGGAGAACATAAAAAAAATCCTTTTAAAATCTACAGCAGTGGAAAAATAAATACTGGAACATTATTAAAAAAATAGATGAAGCCTAAGTAGGCAGCCATAGCTTGACCATGAAGAAAAGAATGCAAGATATCTGGAGAAAGGATTACACATGAAGAATATGATAAAAGACCTCCATAGGACTTAATACATAAGTCTGATCACATATGTGGTTTGCTTTTTTCTCTGATAGGGTTATGTGTCTTCTTAATACGGAATTTTTGATCTCAAGTCAGTACAAAAATTCCTGGTTGGCTGGAGATTATGGGAATTGAAGTCCATGTATCTTAAAATTGCTAAGGTTAAGAAACATTGATGTAGACTACTATTTAGGAAAACAGCAGCTAGAGATGATTTTAGGTTAAAAGTATTAATGTACGAATATGCTGGGTTGCTTATTCAACATGTTGTGACATTGTTTTTAAAATCTACTTTTATTCCTGACAACATAAGTAGGTTTGTTCCGAAAGCCATCCTAGCCAATTCCATATAGCATTATAAATCAAAATGTAAGTTCCATCAAGAATGCATACTGCCTTGTCACAGTTTACAACTGCCGTCTCCTCTTGCAGGAAGTCTCTTTTTAGATTTGAGAGGAAAACAGAAAACTAGGAACAAAAATAGAACAGCAGGAAAAGGAGCTAGAGAAAAAAAAGGTTCCTGCATCAAAAAAGGAAATTGAAATCTTTGTTGCTCTTTCTCTGAATTAAGCTCAAATGCTAGCAATGTCTACAAGTCTACAAACTTGGATAAATGAGACAAGTAAACAAAATCCTGAAACCTTTAAGACTAAAGAATGTGCAAAGACCATCTTGCTATAGAAGACAATAGAAGCTCCTTTTTTATTTGCTGCAACTACCATTCCTACACTCCCCAAATATTACAGCTTTCTTTAGCAGCAAAGAAGTCAGAGATTTCTACCAATAGTTGTATAAATTTTTGCAGATATCATTCCCTTAACAATGTTAAAGCGTTGAGACATGAAACAAGGCATGAAACATGAAATTATGTATTTCTACTGCTGCACATTTGAAGGGACAAAATAAAAACAAAAACCAACAGTAGTTAATACTCTCCTTGAGACAAACTAAATGTTTCAGTAATTATAAACTAATTGCAAATACTTCATTGATCTCTAGAGATAAATGTCAGGAAATAGGAAGGATAGTTCTAACCAATTTTAAACTTTAGAATATCCCCATAGTAATTTTAAATTAAATTTTAAATCAAGTGTGGAAGAGCAAAATAGAATTCACCAGAGGTTTTAATATGTACCTGAGTTCCAGCATCAGCTCAGTGTCAACGCTGCTAACATCAGATGTTCTTGCTTTGACAATAGATGGAAATGCAGCCATTTTCCTCTATTGCTTTTAGAGTTAGTTGATGCTGGGAGGGGGAATGTGGATGAGAGTCTAGCTAGTCATAACAATAACTTAGCCATGGGAACCCAAGGTCATTGGGCCCTGAGTTGTTAGAATTTTGGTGAGCTGGAGAGCTGGGGAGAAAGCCCGTGCTTCAAGCTAATCGGGGAATGTGATTTATGACTGTTAATTGGAGGAGGGAATTGTGCTTTGTCACATTGTACCAAGGGGAGGGGAATTTAGTTTTTGGTTTCAACTATGTAGTGCCGATATTATGTTTCTCGAATAAAAGATTATTTAAGGTAAATAATGCCTCGAAGTTCTTTTGAAGAATTTTATCTGTTGGAACCATTACACTGTTTGCTGCACCCAAAAGCATTTTTTTAAATGTCTCAATTGTTGTAAATGTGTCTGCAACAGCTAAAACCAGTCTCCATTCTATGCAAATTTATTAGTAGAAAGCAGAATGTAAATCATTCAATACAATCATTGTATCTGTACAGAACTGGATACAGTTCAACACATCACTAGGATGGGTTAATGAAATTGCATTATACTTGATTTGGTTCTGATGCTGGTTCACGCTGCATATTAAACTATAATTAACTATAATTTACTAATTACATAAAATTGGCTTTATTTATTAACTGTAGCTTATATTCTTCAAGGAAATCAAGGAAATATTTATAGTTCTTCAACCTCTTTTACTTTATCCATGCTAGAGAATTACAGCTGGGTTTTGGCTACATTTTGCACAAACTGCCTATTGTGGTTCATTGTTTAGTGGAATATATCAATACATCCAGCTTGTTAATAAATTATATTTAAGTAAAGCATGGTTTTAGCATGATATATGAAGCAGGTATGTTCATTAAATTAAATTGTCTTAAAATTATCCAGTGGATTTCATGGCTGAAAGGAATTTCCAACTCAGGTTTTCTAATCTAGTATCTTATTCCTATATTACACACACTTGGGTCATTACTATTGTGATTTATGAATCATAGCCTAGCATAATGTTGTGAGCCTTGCCACTTATTAAATAAACCATGGCTTTGTGCATGAACCTAGCAGATTTAGTTTAAGGTTGATATAGCAATTTTTTTTAAAAAAAATACTATAAAATTGCTTAAAGAGGAAAAGAAAACAATACTGATGTAGCTGATGAATAATCATATTCTACTGTCTCGCTGATGGATTTAGTTTTTCCTGGAGAAGAATAGATATATCTGGTAACAACATAGTAAAAGTGCATTCATAATAGAGCGACTGATTTTTTTTTGGTGTGTTTATATATCTAAAAGTTAATTTGTGGTGCCTCTTATGTATATATTTTCTTCATGGTGAACATTTTGCCTGGTGCCAGGATAAATTATATTTGTCTCCTAAAATGCCTATCTTTAGTTAAATATATTTAATCCCCTAATTTAGTAAATGTAAATATGAAAAAGATAAGATGTAACCATGGTTTCACAAATTTGCTTATTTCACTGATAAGGCATCCGTGTGCTAGAGATAAAGTCCAGTGCTTCCAGTTTTGGTTCTGCTAATCATGTTCAGAAACTTTTCACAATTCTACAGAAGCTTCCAAAATGAATAGGCAATTTGTTCAGAGATATTATTTTCACACTAATTGAATAGAATTGAGAGGAAAAAACATTTAGTATAGATGCCAGATTAGCAAACCCAGCTAATCTATTTGAATGAGAAAGAAAAATAATAATTTATCACTTCAGGTGTCACATTTTTATATAATACTTCCCGTCTTGCTTTATGGCACGAAGGAAAAAATTACTGATCCCTTACCCTTTATAAATAGGTGTCAGTCTGGAGGGGAAAAGGCTTCAGAAAGAGAAGGGATGCTGATTTCACTTTTTTCTCTGTATTGAGAAGGAGCAAGTAGACGGAGATAGTTGTTTTTAAAGGGACAAGATATGGAGTGTATTGAACCTCAAACTGGGAATTACTTCTCAGCAGTTCCATGTAGATGTTGAAAAGGAGGGGGGAATGCTCTATGGAGTGTAGCAGTTTTTAATACAGTCAGCTTCTCTTATAAGACCTTGCTTGCGAATAAAGGAGAATATTTATAGCTCTGGATTGAAATGAGGGGTCCTTGATGCTCTCTGAACTTGGTTGTTTTCTTGAAAGAAAGAAGGAAAGCACCAAGGATCACCCTTGCCAGTTAAATTCAGGATCCATTTTTTTTCTGAGTCTTTCATACCACAGAAAATACTGGTTCCTATATCTCAGGGGTCTTCAAACTTGGCCCTTTTATGACTTGTGGACTTCAACTCCCAGAATTCCTCAGCCAGCGTGCCTGGCTGAGGAATTCTGGGAGTTGAAGTCTACAAGTCATAAAAGGGCCAAGTTTGAAGATCCCTGTTCTATCTCCTAATCACATAGCAAAGTAACATTTCATATGCTTCCTTTTCTGATAAGTCAATCTGCCTAATGGTAAAGACTTTTGTTTAAAAATGCTAAATGTTCTACCAATGCCAAACTATTTTTAGTCACTTTGTTTTTACTCTGAAACACCAATTTGTCTGTTTGTCTGTCTGGTTCAACCTAATATTAGTTTCACTATTTAGTTTTAACCTGTTGTTCTTTTAACATGTTTGAAAGAATTTTTTTATGTACTATTACCCTAAATCCCTCTATACAATAGGCAGCTACTATTCGTAAATGGCACAGAGTTTTGTGGTGCAGGCGACAAATAAGCTTAGGAAATGTACTGTAAGGCATCATGCTAATTAAGAAAACACTTCAGGACTGGAACTTTACTATCAAAAGAACTTAAGACAGACTAAAGGTTGCTTCTGCAATGGTATGAGATCAGACGAAGATAATGAGGACACCCTGCTTAAAAAATAGTTAACAAGGTATGTTTATGCCACAGCACGTGGGATAAGATGATGAACCAATTCTACCAAGGTTTACTGAAGAGACTGAGAGAAGGAGAAGGAAGAAAGATTGTTCTGTCTATTTAAACCTGGGAGGAGGAGCGGGGGGGGGGGGGAGACAATAAAATCTGTAGATGCCCTAGGCTTACCTTCAAATCCCCAAAGCCTTGGATGGGGCCATTAGAGATTTTTAAAAATTGTCACAAAATTGCAATCATTTAAAAAATAGTTAGAAGCAATCATATCATTTATATTCCATAAATATAACTTAAAATGAAATCAAATGCTGTTTAGGGAGGGACCTAGTCTATTTCTTTCTTTTAGAATCGATGCAGTTGTCTTCTTCCATTAGATGAGCCTAAACAAAGGGTAGGCAATATCTGACCATTTAGAAATTACCATTTTTAATTATTGGCAATACTGAGACTGACAGCAGTCTGGATCAAACAATGGAGGTTTGTAGGTTTTGAACTACTCAATATAATAATGTATCATAAAGCAATATACAGTTGATTTATCATTGTTGATCCATTTTGAACTTCTCAAATACAAATAGATAAATCTTAAATCTTGATATGCTGGCACAAACATCATCAAATAACTACATTATATAGTGTGATGTTAAAGAACAATATGAAACCATACTGCAATGCATAAAATAATAATGAGATGTAGGACATGCAAGAAATGCTTGTCAAGCTGTTTAGCTTCCATTCCTAGGAAAATGTCTTAACACATCCAAGGATAAGAAATGTCTTAAAAGAAAATAACTTTTACATATGCACTGAAGAAAAAAGAATTTGAACATTCTGCATATAACAATCTGTATCCTGTGGGATCATTTAGGATCAGAATGTTCCTTTGCAGATGCAATACATCTCATAGAGCAGCCTTTCCCAAATTGATATTCTCTACACTGTAAACTTATATCTATTGTATACCTGTCATTCATTCATTCTTACCTTTTGGTATTACTATCACCAGGATGTGGGTTTCAACATGGGTTTCAGTCATGTTGTTATAAGCAGTGCATATGTATTCTGTTCTCTGTGTCACCTCCTCAGATGCAATTTCTAGAAATTCTCCATATTGTACTGGATGTATGGAGTTGTTTGCCTTCAGGATCCATGAATAAATATTTGGTGGATTGGAATCTGCTTTGCAGTACAGCTGAATAGCATCACCTTTATCAAGCGTAAACACTTTCCCTACTTTCTGGCCTTTGGCATTATTTATGGTAAGTCCATAGGGTCCATCTTCATAAACATCACAGTGACACAGAGAGAAAGAAAACAGATTCAACAGATGGGACTTACATATATTCTGCTTAATCCATTGCAAACATACTCCCACTAACTGCTTACTAAGGTTAACTTTAACCCATCCCCAGCATCCTTCAAATAATGCCTGTCTTTTCTTGTCCATTACAACACTGTTGAATGAAGGAATGCACACACTCAGATTCAGAACACTATTGAAATACAGAAAGAGATAGGCAATTAGCCTTGCAGTTAGCATAAGTATTTTTAGTACATCAAGCTTATCAGAGATGTTAGCATTTATTTATTAAATTTATAAGCCACCCATTTCACTTTCAAGGAACTGCGGGCAGCTTACAGCATCATAAAAACAAAATATAAAAACATTAAACATTAAAATTAACAAAAATTGGGTAAGCTAGGAACCATTATGTCAATGAGGTGGAGGTGGGATCTTTTTAATCCATTAACTACCTGGCAGGTACTTCTAGCATCACGGCCTCTTTGCTAGCCAAGAAATACCCTTCTTTTGCTTAATTAATGTCAGTTTCAGCCACTAAACCTAGAAACCTATGGTTGTTTTGGTATAAGTCTTCGTTTCTTGATAATACCGTGTCCACCTCTGCATAAGCATTCTTCACCTGATCACCTAGAACCTTGAGAGAAGGCTATGCTTGGGCCCATGGGATAGGAAAAGCCATGATTTGCTAAACATGGTTTCTTCAGTTGTCTAGCTTTCATGTAAGATTTTGACATAAGCTTTCCTCAATATGATATTCTCTCTCTATGTTGAGATCACAATTTCTAGAATTCTCAGGAAGTCTGACAAAGTATTTCAGGAGTAGTACTTCTGGCATGTTGGGAAGATGCCAGATGGGTAAGATGTTCAGATTTTACAAACCACAGTTTGAATTCACAAAACTATAATCAAGTATAATTTAATGTTTGTGAGAACCATTACCTAGTAAAAAAAGCAAGCATATGTATGAGTTTATGTATGCTCAGGAAACCAGAGAATGATTGACTAATGTTGTATTATTTCCATTTGTGGTAAACCAGAGTTTATTTTAACTAGGGTTTGCTCAGGAAGCTATAGATTGGGTCCACATGATACACTACACTTTTTAAAAATCAAATGTATTAAAAATACAATTGTTTAGATCATATAGTAGTGTAGTGTACAATATACTAAGCCCCAAATTCCAATTTACAAATTATAAAATTTAGTTTTATACACTGTGCTAACATAAAACTAAACAAACCATGTAATTGCTTAGTACAGAATTAAGGACATGCAGAACCAGCAAAATCAGGAAGCAACGAGGCTTATAAATACTGGTACAAATATGGGGGAAGTGCTATAAATACATATTGAAAATCATTAATTTGAGAACAGCATGCAGTAAATGATATTGCCACAAGATCAGCTTGAAGGAAGAAGTGGAGTAGGATTTGCTCTATTATACCATTAAAAAAAACCTTCTTCCCCTTTTCTCATTTTGGTCTTTTCCCAATTTCTGTTCTTTATAATGACTCTCTGGCACTGCTAAAGAGCACCAAGTATAGTGTAGTTTGCTCACAGCTAAATTTGAAGCACTTTTGGTGTGATTTAACTTTGATTGCAACAGAAATATGGTAACAAAACAAAATTATACTCTCTTCTGATTGCCACTGAGGACCTTTCTGCTTCCTTTTCTCAGGATTATCTTTTGGCCACTTTATATCTAACATCTGTCATGACAAAAGGATATTTATTCTCTTGTTAAGTATTGTAACTTTATGGTTTCCATCATTGTAGTTTCACATTGTGATAAGGGGTGCAATTCTACATCAATAAAACAAAACATGATAAGACAGTATCTGTGGCTCACATACTGATGCCCAGGTTCACAGGCTTTCACAAATGTATTTGGACCATGTTTACATATCTAAATATGAGGCTTGGAATAATATGTGTTCCATTAAAGCATTCTACGTAGTCTTTTGATATTGGTTGCACTATACCTCCTATAATTTGGGGAAATTTATTTTGGAATATGGGATCACTGCACTGTGTGGGAATTTAATGCAGTTGAGACTTTATCATATTTTTTCCTAAAGGAATCCAAAGCTCTGTAAAACCTCTAGTTCTATGGTTGGCTACTCTGGCACAAACTGGAATTTTGTTGTGTTGATAGCGATCCAATTATGCAGGCTGAGTTAGTTTAATCAAATGTAAATTCCCATAATACTCTCTGACAGTGCATGGTCAGAGATACCATTTTACAATAAAATTGTTATTAAATACTTGCCACTACATGTATTACCTGTCAAAATAATTAGGTTGGAGTAGAGACACAAAATATTAGAGTCCTCTATCAGTTGTGGGTTCTGTTTAGGAACTGGAGCCTTGATGTCTCCCTAAGGATGTCATTTTCTGGATCTGATCCTGAGGCAATATAGAATCACCATCTATTCTGCTTGTAAAATTAGCTAGTAACTTGCTCAAACGTGTACTTAATTCCCCCCCCCTTTCCTGATTGCCTTGAAGAACTTGTGATGGTGCAGATTAAATACAATTGTACACAAAAGGGATTTTGGAAGAAAATATACAATTGAAAAGATCACAACCATTGTTCATTTTGTTCTGCACTAGTTCAGTATAAATTAAGTATCTATTAAACTTGTTTTGCAATTTTTATACAAATAAAAAATGGAGTGCGGCAGGATTTCCATTAGTGACTTTTGTCTTATGGAATCATCCAACTATTTTTATGCTGATGCAGCAGAAATGTTACATGGTGACAAGCTTTGTATCTCTGTGAAGTCTCCAAGAAGATGGAAGTTACTAGAGGGTTAATGGTATGTGAATGGTCCTCGTGGGAAATTCTTTCCAAAATAATCTTTTACATGTTTAAATAAAATACATTTGAGGTGTTAAGACTATTTTTAAATAAAAGCTTCTAGTAGGCCACTACTTCTTTTTTGATATCATTCTGAGCCAAGACCTTTTACCTCAGTAAAACCTATTTACTAAATGACTTGTAAAATAATAAATCATCACTTCTTAGCAACAATTTACTTCTCAGGGGGAACATAAGCAATTGTATCTGTCACCAGGAAACTGTAATCCATCTTGTTTTTGAACAGATGGTATTTACCATGAGTGACCTTTATTATTACTCTAATTCCCCAGGCAGCAATGGCATATGGTCTTTGTAGCTTGTAGAGCCATTACTTGGTTGTTATTGAGAAAATTGGCAGCCAATAGATAGAATTTTAAAATACCACTTACAAGTGTACTTTAAATTATGTAACTTGAAAGCAATATTTAATGGAGGAAGTCATGGTGGATATTGGGCTTCTCTGTCAGTTGGGGGGGAAGACTTGATGGCTTATACGTTCTTGAAGTTTCATGCAAATCCTCTTGTGTAAAAAGAAACAATATTTTGTTTAATATTTGTTTAAATATTAACAGGAATCAATCATAAATTCATTTGCTTGGGTTTCTTTGGGAATCCAGCCATTATATTATACCATACTATATCATTATCATTGTTAATTATTGTTTTATCCTTTCAATGTTTACTGTTTTTAATGTTTGTAAACTACCCAGAATAATCAAATCAAACAAACTTACCACTGCAATATTATACATACAAATTAGTTTATTATGGCTTAATTAATCTTGTTTGAAAGAAAGCCTAGCTTACACAATGAGTAGAAAACTTGTTCGTCTTAGGGACAGATGATAAGCTTAAGTACCATTATATAAGCCCAGTCTGCCCATAAGTCTATTCAATGAATCATGGTTTAGTAAGCAAAGGGTAAACATAAAATCAGCTATCATGAATTAAATTCTGTATTAATGTTACTTAGATTTATAATATTACTTCTCAACTGTATTGAAAAATGCCCTCTATTTGTGCATGTTTGTAGCAGTAGTGTAGTGCTCTAGCCATGTCACTAGATGGGGCAACTCAAGCAGCTTTTCAGGGAAGAATCTTTCTTTCTTTCTTTCTTTCTTTCTTTCTTTCTTTCTTTCTCTCTCTCTCTCTCTCTCTCTCTCTCTCTCTCTCTCTCTCTCTCTCTCTCTCTCTCTCTCTCTCTCTCTCTCTCTCTCTCTCTCTCTCTCTCTCTCTCTCTCTCTCTCTCTCTCTCTCTCTCTCTCTCTCTCTCTCTCTCTCTCTCTCCTTCCTTCCTTCCTTCCTTCCTTCCTTCCTTTTCTTTCCTTTCCCTGCCTTTATTATTTTTACAAATAATTCAAGGTGGTGATCATGTCCAACGCAGCTTCCTCCTATTTTCCCTATAACAATAACAACCTTTTGAGGTGAGACTGACTGGCCCGAGGTCACCCAGCTGGCTTTTATGGCTAAAATGGGATTCGAACTCATGATCTCCCACTTTCTAGCCTGATTGTCTGAACCACTAGAACAAACTGGCTCTCTTAATTTGTGATTGTTCAAAACTGTGCAGGAAATGAGCTGACTGAGCCTTCCCGGTCTAATAAGAACACTAGGAATTCTGCAAACAATTATACTAATATATCTGAAAAAACAAGGCATCCTGAATAAAAGACTGTACAATGTAAAAAAGAAAACATCTATGTACGTGGTTCTGTGTTACAAGGTGCTGGAGGTGCACCATGGTCTGACTTTCTCATTTATATCTGTGGTAGTATATTTAACATTACCAGTACTAAATAATAATTCATACTCTACTATGCACTCTCCCTCCATCTCAATTACTTGCCACAGGTAAAAAGACAAGTGTAGGTAAGACGGTTATGCTGCCTAACTCCCATAATATTCAAATATATTTGTTTATGGATTTGTTATACAGGTATTCCTCAACTTACAACAATTCATTTAGTGACCATTTGAAGTTAAATGGTCTGAAAAAAAGTCACTGAAAAAAGTGACTTATGACAGTTTTTCACACAACCATTGCAGCACCTTCATAGTCATGTGATCAAAATTCAGATGCTTGGCAACTGACTCTTATTTATTATGGTTGCAATGTCCTGGGGGTCATGTGATCACTTTTTATGAACTTCCGACAAGCAAAGTCAAAGGGGAAGCCAGATTACCATACTTAAAACTTTGTTACTAACTTAAGAACTGCAATGATTCATTTAACAACTGTGGCAAGAAAAGTCATAAAATGGAGCCAAACTCACTTAGCAACAGAAATTTTGGGCTCAATTGTGGTTGTAAGTTGAGGATTATCTGTACTTTTATTCATTATTTCCTTCCTGAATTCATAGTAGAATGACAGCTTCGCAATTACCTTAGAATAAGATAGAACTCAATGGAAAATATCTATAGCTCAGGATTGAACAGTGGAGTTCACGGTCTCTGAGCTAGTTGGCTGCTTGCAGACATTTCATTACCCAACTAGGTAATATCATCAGTGCAAGTGAATGTGGGGTTTGCTAACTGTTCATATGTAGTAGCTTGCCTGCCAATTTTCGTGGAGGCCATTTCCTCCTTGGTAGTTGTGAATTACTCAAGACTGAATTGCTCAAGAATAGTCAGTTTTGAACCTTAACTGAGAAATTCCCTACAATGCTTCTAATGTTAGTCACTCTGAAACTCCATGAGACATTGAAATGGCCACTTTCAGCTAGCTGCCATTGTTGTTGCTGGAGTCTGCAGTTCAATCAGAGCTCAGCAGCAGAAAAAGGGGTTAGTCACTTTTTTATCAATTGTAGAAGCATTATATATGCTTTGTTTTCTTTATAGGCTGCTATAGCTTTCCTCAAGCAGATTCTCACATAGTCCCTAATATGACCAACAGATGGAAATCCCTAGAGATTAATCCCAACACATTTGGAAAGCACCAGTTTGTAGAGATGGCTATAAAGCAGAAAATGGTCATTGCTGAGTGAGAGTTTGAAATTTATAATTTAATGCGATGACCCTGGCATGATTCCACTAGACATAAATACTAATAACTAGAAAAGTGGCTAAAGGAAGGAAAGCAAGAAAAAAGTAAGGGTTGCTAAAAAGTTATTACAAGTCGCAGGCAACCTCATGGTGAATCAGTGATACAGATTTTAATCAATGAACAATATGTAGCTGTCTGGAAATTACTGAGCAGTAGGTCCCATTAGGTTTAGAGCTAGCATAGGCAACCAAAGAAGGAGCAAATGACATCACATGACCATAATATCATTGTGTAGATTATATAAATCACATTACATAATCATGATATGGCATTGTAAGCCAACCAGAGTCACGTGATGTGGGAAACATATCAATTTAATAAAATATACATGCTGTTATTGTGGCTTCTATTGAAAGCTATGCTAGTTAGCATCCCGATAGCAAAGAATTTAAGTCCAGCAATACATATGGCTCACAGAGGGAAGGAGTACGAGAAACAGGAAGAAAAAAAACTGGCATACTCCATGAAATTGATTGGGTTTATCTGTTTTCAAGTGAAACCTTCCTATTTGAACTCATATCTACTCTATGCATAATAGCTTTTTAACATTCTTTTTTTTAAAAAAAAACTTTTCTAATTTCCTCTCCATTTTCTCTGTTTGACTAAATTCAATTCACTTTTTGTTGTGTTGCTTTAATATGCTTCCAACATCTTTAGAATCAACAAAGATGTTGGAAGCATTTGTTTGATCCTTCTTTCAAGAGAGGATCAAGTGAACCAGTTGGTTTACAGCTTGGTAAAGGCATTTTTGTAAGCCTTTTTTCCCCCTACCAGTCAAATCCTGTCTGCCTCCAACATACTGGACGTAGCTAATGCATGTAACTAACCTGGGTTATTTTTATTATACACTTCTTAATGCTTGCTGTCTTAAATATTTTGTGCTACAGTTTTATGTTGCATTTTATATTGTATTCTATACAAATATTTTTCTAACACAAAACATCTTGAAATGATCTGAATAAGATGACATAACATTTCAAAATAATAATAGGATAACAAGAGCAGTTGCCATAATCATGTCATTTTCAATTGTATATTGTCTCACAGGTGTCAGCTTAAGCAAACATATCCAGTGTCCTATATTGATTTTGCACAGAAATTAAAAATGATAATGATATGGACTTTAGGATTTAATGTTCTTGCTTGTCTAAAATATAGTCTAGAGCCCATTAGGGATTTGGATTTTTTTCCCTAATATACCACCATGAAGCAAAACAGAAACAGCTTCTGAAAAATTATGCAAAACAGCAGTAAGAGTTTCAAGAGTGGGCCTTAATACAGGAGTCAATACAGTGTTAGAAATTTCTGTTTCCCCTCTTTCTTCCACCAGCCTTCATGGATGTCTTTTTCCTCCTATCATCAGGAACAGCCAAAGAAGTGTGATAATTGGATAAGAGACATTTTATGACTTTCCAGCTCTTCATCAGATTCTTAATTTGAAAAAGATTTTTCTGTTCTTGTGGTACTCTTCACTATAATTTATAACATGTATTATAAATTGTTGCTGGAAAGGCTTTAAGAGTCTGACAGCTTTGTACAACAAGTTTTCCAAGAACAGGTTTTAGATTTTCTTGTCCATTTTTGGACTTCTCTACCATGGATACTGAGGATGTAGACTATGGTTTAAGTAAAAATTAATCCTCTATTTTAATTCCATATACAATCATGGAATTCAAAGTGGGATACACAGTATTCAAAGTTGTCCATCTTTCAGGCATTGGCCAATTTAAACTTTGGATATGTAGAAGTTTAACTAGGTTAACTTTAAGATCCTGGCACTCAAATAAATAAAAGTCAAAAGAAAATTCTGTAAACTCCCCCTCCTCAGGAAAAAAAACCCCTTGTATAACTCTTAAACATAATACAATACTTTAAAAGACCTACATTGAAGTTCAGGAAAATGTTGAATAATTTTTTCTTTACTATTCCTTACCATCACTATATACACTATCACTAAAGATATTGTAATGAATTCCTCTCTCAAATCAACTAATACCTACTATTAGAAGGGAATATCTGCAGACATTTCATTTCATTTCCAAACTAAATAACACCGCTATTTTGCAAATTCACCCAAATCAAAGAGATTAGATACATTTCATCTACTTACAATATATTGTTGGCGTGATCATATCACTCATCATGGCACTGACAGGGTTGGTTACTAAACAGCTGTAATTTCCAATAGCTTCTTTAAGAACCGGGGCAATGGAAAGTGTATCTTTGTTTATAGTCATGGAGCCATTGCTGCTGTCTTCAATTGGATTTTCATTTTTCATCCACTGGTAAACCACTCTCGTGCCTTTTTCCACCACACATTTCAAAGTGATGTTTCCTTTTTTTCCTACAACTCCAAATGAGGGTTCCATGTATATGACAGGCTTAGTGACAGGCACTGCAATGGAAACAATATTGGGAGTTATGATCAAGTCATTTCTGTTATTTACATACAGCAGTCTAGATAATTTTGGAGTCTACATTTCCACTAGTAGAAGATGGTAAGAACTGTCACTGCTTGTATTTGGGACCTCTGCAAAAAGTGGACCCTCAATCCAAAAACTTTCTTAAAAGAACAAATTGACTTTTTAATCCCAAATGTACTCTATAAAGAGAATCAACGTCATAAGTCAGTTTGTAAGTCAGTCAGTTAGGGATGCATTATAGGACTCAATTTGTATATATCTTATCTAGAGCTTTCATTATGTTATGTTGAGAATCCTGGAAATTTTAGTTTCAACATACCAGGTGGTGTCAGTTTGGGGAAAATTGCTCTAGATTCTTCACCAGTATATCTTTTAGAATATAGTTATAAATAATTGCCATTGGATTTTAATTTGCACATGCATTAATTTGCACATGCATTAGAACAATGTAAGTAAATATTCCGAAATATCCTGATGTGTAATAGACAACAGTATGTCATAACTGTGAATGTCATCTTATGTAGTATATTTTAATTTTTAAGAATTTGCAGAATATATGCTAAAGCTTGTGCCTTTCCTGCAATAATGCTGGATTTTGATTATCACCCCATTAGATTTTTCTCTATTACCAGGAAGTTCTCTAAATAGCATTACTTCACTGCACTGAATGTTCAGCAGGACAGATTGTGGCTTTGGGGGGAAAAAAGCCCAGAAAATATCTCAGATAAACAAGAAATGGTGAACTTATGACCTTTAGATATGCCGCTGAACTCTAATTCCCTAGTCACAGCCCATATGGTAAATATTGGTGAATAGAAATATACTCCAGCATTTCAAGTTACTTACCATTAACAGTAACCCGAATCTTCTCAATTGCTGATTTTGTCCCATTGCCACGGATATTGATTTTTACAATATAATTTCCTTCATCACTTCTGTGTAAAGAATTTATCAGCAAAGATGCATTTGGAGGTGAAAGTGTAAATTTGTGTCTATATTCTAAGTCTGGAACAACCGATCGATTGACCGAAGTAAGCAGATATTTAGGGTTTGTTGGTGGTTTTTCAAAGAGCCATATGATCTGGATTTCAGAAAAGGTGAAGTTGAAATTATAAGCAACCTCAAGTCTAAGTGGCTGTCCTTCAATGCCATTGACTGTGTGTGAGGGAATTGTCATGTTTAATGCAGAAGAAATACCTGCAACAGAAAGATTACATATATTACAGGTGGAAATACACATAGGACTTGCTTCAGTTCTATTGTAATATATCTTAAATGTTTTCAGAATTAATCATCACTTGTTATATATCACATGTGTAAATTCATATTATGACCATTTTGCATTTTTGTTCCTTATCTATAATGCCATATATTTCTTTATGCGATACATTTTTTTCATATTGGGTTGTATATAAACATTACACACATCTCTCTGAAAAGAACAGACAAAGTAATAATAATAATAATTAACTTTTCAGATTAACCATCAACAGTGAAGGAACTAACAGCCAAGAAATACTGCAGATGAGTATTTGGTAGAGCAGCCAGGAAAACCTTGGAAAAGGCACTCAAATGCCAGGATTGACTCTACCCACAAAAACCAGAGTCACGCAAGCCATGGTATTCTTTGTGACATGCTGTAGAAGTGAAATAAGCAGGATAGGAATATTAACATATTTGAATTTTGTGTTGGCAAGACTCTTGAAAATACTGTGGATAGTCAAGGAACTAAATTGATGGATCACTAAACAAATCAACCCAAAGTTCTCATTTGATGCACAAAAGATCAGGCTAAAATTATTCTTGTTTGGACACATTATGTGAAAACCTACGTTTTTAAAACCTGTGCTGGTTACAACTATAGAATACGTTCATTTTTCCTCTAATATTTTCTTGCAATTATTGCTTGACTAATCCAGAGTAAACAAATTTGCTTCTGGATTGATTTGAATGGCTAGGGATTGCCCATGGGGGTATAGCATGGATTCAGAAGGTGCTCAGGGGTCTGCAAGAGATAACATGATGGTTGGGGAGAATGCACAGAAGTACACAAGAGGTGGGGTGTTGGTTTTGACCCAGCCTAAGTAAAAATGAGGGAAAACTTCTTTTGTACTGTATAATATCCTTGAATGCATACTATAAGCATTTAAACTTCACTAAAACCAAGTATTGTCTTGCACTCTGAATATTAGTCAGTAAAGGAGTGAATTAGATGTCCACTCATTTCTAAGGAAATAGGTCTTGCAGAGTTTGTCAGAACATAGAGCTTTCAGACAATGTAATTATTTATATCAGATTTATCAAAATTGCCTTTAAGAATGTTATATTTTGTAAGAAAGCCAAAGAAATAAAAGTTTCATCCATGGAGGGAAGATTGGCTTCAGAATGAGAATTGATAGTATTCTTAAATACAATGTAACCAAGTAGCAATCTCACAAGACTGTTGTGAATGCAACACATGTAGTCCTCAACTTACAACCACAATTGAGCGCAACATTTCTATCGTGAAGTGAAACATTTGTTAAGTGAGTTTTACCCCATTTTATGACATTTCTTGCCACAGTTGTTAAGTGAATCATTGAAATTGTTAAGTTAGTAACACAATTGTTAAATGAATCTGCTTCCCCATTGATTTTGCATGTTAGAAGATCACAAAAGGTGATCACATGACCCTGGGACACTGCAACCGTCAGAAATATGAGTCAGTTGCCAAGCAGCTGAATGTTGATCACATGACTGTGGGGATGCTGCAAATATTGTAACTATGAAAAATAAGTCAGTTTATTTAGTGCCACTGTACCTTTGAACGATCACTAAATGAACAGTTGCAAGTTGAGGACTACCTGTAGTTAGTTCAACAAACTGCTAAAGTACAGTAGTGTAGGCTACATGGGTCTACCTCTGAAAACCAAACGGACATTAGGGCACCATTAGACCAGAATGGTGGCTCAGTTGTTGGCAGATGGTCGCTATCAAAAGTTCATATCTATGCTTCAGGCTTTGAATAGGCCTTGTTTCCTACCAGCTTCTATATGCAATTCAAATGCAACTTTTAACCTTAGCCCCTACATGACCTGGTTCCAAGATATCTCTGGAGCCTTCTCTGTTCAATTTCAATTTGTCCAATGCAAAGCTTATGGAATAATCTAGTAGCAGTTCCCAACTTCCATGAAAAATGGTGAACGGAGGCCTACATAGGTTGGCATTCCATTACAGGACAAATATTATGATGTGTGATATTTGATCAGCACTTGCCTTACTAGGCTTCAGAAAAATTACTTATGACCAGGGCTTTTTTTCTCAGAGAAAAGGTGGCGGAACTCAAACCTGGCCACGCCCTCATCAAACCCTAGGACCGCCCCTTTAGAGAACAGGAATGCAAGAAAAATTTGGGAGGGGCTATTTCCGGTGCGGGAGGGGCTATTTCCGGTGCGGCCGGCCCGGAAAAAGGTGCCGGAACGCGGTTCCGCCGCGTTCCGGCTGAAAAAAAGCCCTGCTTATGACAAGAAGGCATTTGGTTCTTAATATGTTGCCATCTTGTTACTTGATTTGATGATTGTTTTAAGATTCCTATTTAATACTTTTAACTTTTGTGATTTTTATGATTATTTTTACTGGGATAATTCGAACGCACCAGTTATCTTTTTTATTTTTTGATTATGGCAAGTAAACATGAAATAAACCAAAACTAAATAAACCATGGCCTAATATGACTTATGAACCCAGCCACTAGAGTTGGCCCTTGACTTAGAACCATTTGTTTAGTGGCTGCTCAAAGCTACAGTGGCACTGAAAAAAGTGACTTACATTCAGTCCTCACACTTATGACCATCACAGCATCCCTACTGTCGCTTTGGAATGAAATTTGAATGCGTGTATCCACAATGATTGCAGGGTCCCAGGATCATAGGATCACCTATTGCAACTTCCTCAGCCCACTTCTGATAAGCAAAGTCAATAGGGGAAGCTGGATTCGCTTAACAACTGTGTGATTCACTTAACAACTGCAGTGATTTGCTTAACAACTGTGGCAAAAAAGGTCATTAAATTGGGCACAACTCACTTAACAGCCACCTTGCTTAGAAATTCTGATCCCAATTGGAGTCATAAGTTGAAGACTGCTTGGTTTTTTTTCAGCCATAGGAGCTCAATTTCACATGCAGGTTTTAACTGAATTAAATAGAGCCACCAAAGATATTGTATTAAGATTTTGTCTTAAATGAGGTGATGCTTTTTACCTGTTCCAAGTACAGGTAGTTTCAAAGCACAACCAGAATTGAGCCCCAAATTTTTGTTGCTAAGTGAGGCGTTGTTAAATGAGTTGCACGCACTTCATTTTACCACTTTTTTTATTACAGCTGTACAGCAGATCAGTGCAGTTGCTAAGCGAATCCTACGGTCATTAAGCAAATCTGGCTTCCCCCATTGACTTTGCTTTGCCAAAGCTAGCTTGAAAGGCTACAACTAGTAATCACATGACTTCAGGACAGTACAACTGTTATAAATACATGCCAGTTGCCAAGGGTTTAAATTTTGATCACCTGACTTTGGAGATACTGCAACAGTTCCAAGTGTGAAAACTAGTCATAACTCATTTTCAATGCTGTTATAATTTTGAATGGTCACTAAATAAACTGTTATATGCTGAGTACCACCTGTACTGTAATCAACTGAATTGGAAATTTTATTTCATGTTGCAATGGAATACAATATTGGGAATATCTAATTTGCTAACTACCTAATACAGTATTGCCTTTCACCATATTTGCAGCAATAGAATTGTTTAAGATTCAAGCCTTGTGTTTTCTAGCAGAACCATTGCTTTTCAGTATATGGTAGTGCTAGGACTGAAATTAAATTATCACAAGTATATTATATAAATGCATGGAAAGTTTTATTCTAAAACCTAGCAAAATTATTTTTCTATGTTCCATTTTTGCTTTGGTATACAAATTTTTCTTTTATTAAAAACAAGTTTAGGAATGGTTGATCCATAGACAACAAATTTCAAATATAATTTTACCAACTTGTAAGAATCTGAAACATAAAAGAAGCTTCTGAAGCAAATAATGCACTTTCTTAGCTTCTGGTGTCTGTGCTTGCTTTCTTTGTATTCAGCATAAACAAATTAGATATTCCCAAAGTGACCTCCAACTTTTGCCTAGGCTGCATTTGGCTTTTACATCAGTTTTAAAGTATTAGTAAGCACAACACCACCCTTGTTGACTGGAAACGTCCTTGAACTATTTTACTGAAATAAAAAAGATGACATAATATTTTGAGTTTCATACATAAACCAACGTTCCATGGGAAGGGTTTATATTTTATTTCAAGCACTTTTCAGTATCAGTGACAGTGTAATTTTGAAATTAACCTAGTTTAATTTGTTGTTGCATTACCTTATACTAGTGGCAAAATGCAAATATTGTACTATAGTAGAACATAATTGGTCTGTTTGGTTTTTAACACTGGGATTTATGACTTAGCCATTTGTCCAAATCCATTTAATTGTGAAATTATTAGGCAAGGTACACCCAGGTTTAACATAATGTCGTGTAAAACCCTGTGAATATTTCCACAATGAATAGAATAATGATATTGGAACAAATGCTAATTTTAAACCCAGTTTGCACAGGAATGAAAAAAAAAATACCCTCTAGCTATTACAAACCTGTTACTCTTAAGTATAATGTGGAAATTTTTATATCTCCTGTATGTGTAATCAACTTGGAAACAATAATGCAGAAATAGGGAACCAGCAGCCCTCAAGACATTGCTGAACTACACTTCCTAATATCCCTCACCTTTGATCACATGGGCTATTGCTGCTGAGAGTAGCATTTTAGCAGTTTTGGAAGGGCCATAATCCCCCTTCTCTTAAAATAATATCAGAAAAATCTACTTTTTAATTTCTAATGCTAAATACTATTTATGGAAAAATATCAGAATGAATTTAAGGAACACATTGAATTATCACATATGGCATTATAAAGTTTTAAAAATGCATTGGTTACATTCAATGAAATATGAGAACAGTTGCTGTCCCCAGTGTGTACAGTATGTGTTGATTCAACCTTCCTAAAAGATAGCATATTACATAATGTGTGAACTATAGAACAATCTTGTCTGCTCTGAAGAAAGTCTTAACAGCTTATTCACAAGAACCCAGACATGCAGTTACAGAATTGTAGTTTCCATTTATACAAACCCCATGGTGGTATTTTATTCTATGATGCAAATAGCATTAACACTACCAATTTTATATCCATAAAGCTATTAAGTTAAGATATTTATGTATTCTGTAAAGCCTTGTACCTGAATAAAGTTTCATAAAAGGACAGAAATCATGCAGAATCTTACCTAAAAATAGGCAGAGCACATAGATTTGCAAGCCACAAAACATGGTGTTAAAAGGTAGCTTGTTTTGTGTGAAGGCCATCTTCTTTCAGTGCAGAGCAGCCTTGATCCAGCAGCTGAGGAGTTTATTTGTTAGGCAAATCAGGTGTGAGTTAGGAGTCACTGCCTTGTCTTGCTTCAGGTGATTTGACTATGTGTATAAATGACACAGGGAGTGGAACACCTGTTAGATTAGTGTTCAACATCTTCATTGCCTATAGCCCTATCATAATTCTCTACTCTGGTATGTTCATAGCAAATATAGATCACGATAAATTGGGCATACAGTATGAATCACTCAACACTGATAAAAAATAAATGAGCTTAAAGACCATATGCAGGTTATATTCATCTGATGAGTGCAGACAGTTAAACAACTCCAGGAAAAAAAGAACATAAAAATGTACAAACCCTGAGGATTATTGCTAATGATTTTTGTTAGTTTATATTGTGTCTTTTAGGTTAGATAAAATTAGTCCTAAAGCTTTTAAATAAATAAGTACAAAACTGCTTTAAAAATAGCAAAATTGAAAAAATTGTAAGATTCAGCAGCATGCAAGTATGATAAAAATGCAGATTTTTAAAAACCCTTCAGGTATTTTCACTATTTTCTGAACTTCCAAGACTTTCTTAATTATAAACTTGGCTGGATAAGCATAGCCTAAACTGAAATGCAGTTTCTGGTTCAGAATGTAATGTGAACATTAAGAGAGTTCATTTTCACTTGTGAAATTCAAATTAAAACTTGTTTTGCATAATTTAAACCATGTTTTGCTTCAGCATGTTTTGCTGAATTAGCCATAATACCTGAGTTCATTCAACACATTAAGTCAAAACTAAACTTGTATTGTGGCTTAGCAATGTAGGAAACCAACCCCTTGGCTATGTCAATACTGCACGATTACCAATGTTTACCATAACTGGATTTTATTTAGCTCATTTTGGTTTATCTAATTACTGAAGTATAAAAATAACTGCATGAGCTCACTACATATAACATATTAAGCTAAAATGAGTTTGCAGAATTGTGGTTTCAAGTGGCTTATGGAAAACATAATCTAGGGCATATGTTTTCTATAAGCCACTTGAAACTACTCCCTCCCTGGTATTAATTATATCAACTTCTAAGTAACCAGTCAAGGGAGTTTAGTAATAAATAAAACCCTTTACATTTTCTAATACTTGCTTACAAATATTGTTAATTAGACCCAGTTAAAAGAAATAAGTAGTCTGTTTTTTATACTTGCTCTGCTGTGTATAGGTTCTCCTCTCAATTGTTCCAGGCCAGAGGTCTTCAAACTTGGCTCTTTTATACTTGTGGACTTTAACTCCCAGAATTCCTCTGCCAGCATGAGGAATTCTGGGAATTGAAGTCCACAAGTCATAAAAGGGCCGACTTTGAAGACCCCTGCTCCAGGCAATGGCTTTTCATAGATTCACACTATAACCAAAATAGCAAAAGCAAAAGTTAGGCAATGCCTTTACTAGGATGAGGTTCTATATGAGACTATGCAGTTTTCAGTTTATTCCTGAGGCCATAACGTTTCGATAAGGAAAACAGCGTGACAGAGTAGCTGAAAGTTTATAAACTAATTCTAGAAAAATAGCAACTTTAGCTCTAGATGTGGTTTTGTTCCCATGGAAAGAGCTAGAAAGAATACACTTCAGGGGTGGTCCTTCGTTCTCAGCTCCTGATGGAAGAGCAAGGGAGTCCTGCTTCCAGCCAATCAGTGATTAACTTTAGTCGCTGCAGTACAGTCAGTCATGTCCTAGTTATTTCACAATCTTCTTGCTAGCGTTATTCCCGCGCTATAGCATGATCCCTAGTGTTCTCACAATGAACTACTGTCATTTGCCATATATGGGATTGCCTTTGTAAACCACACTGAAACTGAAACTAGCATAAAATACAGCAGCCTGCACATTAACTTGATTAATGTGGGATTGTCATATAACACCAGTACTGGTTACCACTTTGATTTTGGGTGCAATTAGAATCATTTTCTTTAGCTCAAAAGGACTCAGTGGTGATGCATCGTAAAACATTTTCTCGGCATTTAACACAGCGATGTTTCGGTGTATACAAACTCAACTAATCATATCGATACTAATATCTTGGATCACGAAATTATTTCATTAGAAGCAAAATACATTTCTGGAAGTAACCAAGTTCCGCGTTCAAGCATCATATGGTTTTTTTAAAATTCATTTATCGCTAAAAGGCTTATTTCATCCTGAGAACTCGCTAATTGGAAAGACAGGAAATACGATCTGCTGAGCTTTGTGGGAGTTGTATTTCTCTCAGAGGCGTATTGGCGTCCAAAATCCGGAAACAAAGCTCCCATTGTAAACTCTAAATCCCATGATTCCGAAGGAAAACAGGCGGGTCATGTGATACTCAAAATGGCTTCGCTGTGTTAGAGGCAGCTACGTTCGATGGGCGAAGGGAGTTTGCGAGACGAACTGGCCGGCCGGCAGAAATTGTGTGATCATGCAGAAAATCAAGTCTCTGATGACCCGACAGGTAGCGGGGTGGGAAGACGGAAGACCTACGTTTGATATAAAGCGAGGTTAAGAAAGATGTAACTGAAACAATTTCTGCAGAAGACAGCATAGGCAGTATGAGGGTCTGGGTGTGTGTTTCGTAAGGCCGGAATTCCTATAATTAAAAAATGGAATTTTGAATGAGAAGAAAAACACGATAATCTGTTTTATTTACTGGGGAAAGACCCAAATGTGTTCTGTTGTAGATAAGATACGATTTGGCGTGCATTTCTTTGAAAAGGAATTCAGTTAAGTAGGACTTGAATATTTGTAAATGCCCACAGGATTTAAACTTATTTATTACTATTATTTGGGTAGGAAGGTCTGATGCTTGAATAAAGGAGGTATATAAAGAAGATTTCCTGGGTTGTTCGTAATTTATTTCATTGATTATTCATTTAGGAACGTAAGGACTCCAGATGCATTGTAGGATTGAATTGTGGCTGTTCAGGTTGAGCTTGTTTCCCCAGTTTAAATTCTCTGAGGAAATGATTTCAGAATGTAATGACAAACTAAATCTGGAATCTTTTCTCATACTATTTGATGGCAAAAAGGTTATAAAATATATGTAAATAAAGATGATAGGAGCAATTGGTAAATGCAAAGGTTGTAGATTTGAGGGGAATATCACAGGGGTGGCAACTGTGATTACTGATTTGATACATGTCATTAGGGCTCTTAGTCAAAAATGGGCCAGATAATATTTGTTTGAGAGACTATTACAAGGTGTGCTTTTTGATGAGGACAATTGAAAAAATTATTTGAAATTGAATATTCCAAAATTGTGCCTTTTGATCATAAATCTCATATTCAGTGTTTTTTTAAGGAAATAATATTGGACATTTGGTTTCAAAGATCTCTGATTTATTTTTCTGTGTGGTTCAACAAACATTTTTGCAATTTTCCTCTGATACACATCTTAAGATTGAGCAAATAGTGTTTTGGGTTACAAAATCCCTTAGTTCCAAACCATAGATTGTAGCAAAGGATTATCCTGAGAAAAAGTCCATCATTTTATTATACAGGTTCTTTTGTTACAAGTCCTTCAGCTATTTTGTAGCTAGAAAGCCTTGCTCACAAGAATAGCTTGAGTTTTCTGAGGTTTGGTTTTCAAATATATGTGCCTTCTAAAGCAGTAGTTGAAGCAGTCATATATTTATCAATAAGTATTGTTTAATTATTGTGGCTATAGAAAGTGACATATTTGATTTTTTCCATCTTAAGGGTCTTAAAAGTCCTCAGGAGAGTATTCATGATTTGAGCCCCCTTGAGAACTTCAGAATTCCAAGCAAGGTAGGACATACAATGTTAATATTTCTTTCAGTTTCTATTTTATACTTGTAGCATCAATTTGTATTCCATACAGCTACCATAGCAGGGCAAAGAAGTCAGTACCCTTATCAAATTGTGTTAATGACATTAACATGCAGCATTTGTGATGAGATTTTTAGCAATATGTCAGCCTTGTCCTTTCTACTCTGCAATAGCACAGGATAGGCGTTTGTGATAGCCATTCTCCTGATAACTGGAGGTACCTCTGCTTGTTACTATTGTTTAAAATTTACTGTCAGGATCCTATGGCAGCTTTAATTTATAAAAGTACTTCAGGCAATTCCCATGTGCGTTATGAATCTTACTGCTATTTGGCATCACATAATTTAATTACATTTTACAAAACATACATAAGGACAATAAAGACTAACATAGAAAATCAAGAGAAAAGATAAAGAGTAAAAAGAAAATAAGGATAGAAGTGCAAAGAGATGAAAGAGAAGGAAAAAATATATACAAAGGATGACTTCCAACTTTTTCTACCAAAGATATAAGAAACATTTATATTTGACTCTTAGTTTAATACTGTGATAAAATGTCCATTTTCCCCAAAAGAAGAAAAGGGGTAA